CTCAAATTTCTAGAAAGTATGAACAATTACTTTTTTTGGGGGGGGGGGGGGGGGGGACATGTCTCTTATCATTGAATTGTAACGTTTGAAATTAGGTGTCCCTTGCTATATAATTAGCTGCTCATATTTTCAACATGTTCATTCAATAACAGTTTCACTCTGGAGATTAGACTAGGGTTGCTATCCAAGTCTCAATGTCAATTAAATAATGTCTTGGTAATCAGTTGCAACACAGTCACGAAGAGCTCCCGTCTCTGTACAGAATTACACATGCAGCCCGCACAACGACCACACACACAGACAGTCCCCATATTCCCAGGGCCAGCTAGCTAGATGAAATCGGAGCTTGACCGAGCATTCTGTTTGCTCAGTTAAAATAAGCATCATGAAGTCAGCAAATATTAAACCATCAATACTAAATCAAAATAAAACCAAAAATTCAATAGATATTCACCAACTCCTACCCGGTATATCACGTCTGATTGCACTGTTAGAAAATATTTGTTGTTGTTGTTGTCACATCAACTGCACCAGAGATACCACCGAGGCTGCATGAGCCTCAACTCAAGCTGGAGTTGAAGGTCGGGAGTTAAAATTTGCTGAAATCTCAGCTCTTCCCCAGAACTGTGATGTTTTCAACAATTTTCCCTATTTCATCAAGTCAGATAATATATCATTGTTTTTGTCTAGTGGGTTGTGTATAAATATTGACTGCCCAAATGATGATATTTCTGTAAAATTCAATTTGGATGATTTCCGTTCATTAGGGACTGTGCATATCGTCTGCTTCCCCACAGGCAAAGGTACCTTGTCCTTAAGAAGTATGCATGTAAACACACTAGGCCTGTCTTCATCAGCTCGAGTTGGCCAAATAACCTGCTATTTCAACTATCCCGATTGCAAATTAGCCAGCTAATTTGCGTCTTCATCAGCCTACAGTTGCAATTATTGGGATATTTGGTTGAGAAAATATCCTGAGAAATCTTGGTTTTGTTTCCAAATATCCCCCTATTTGGGAAATATTCCGGTATCTGGGAAATGGCGGGCTAATTTGCTCCCGTTTGAGCTAGTTTGTGATGAGCATATTGGTCTGGTGAAGACGCATTTTCGATCTTCGGTAAAATATCCCGAGTCTGAAAATAATGGGTTATTTGGCAAACTCGAGCTGACGAAGACAGGCCTAGACTGACATTTATTAAACTAATGGTGGAAAGAGAAGGCCTCCAGTGAATGCCAAAATGTGCATAACATATCTAATAAACATTGAATGTGAAATGGTTGACTGCTGATTGCATGGAGGGGAAGAAGAATGGAAGTTGAATGATTCTATCGAGCATGATTCTGCAGGCAATCTGTCTTAGGAAGTGGACTTTTTGCCTCTTCTTTGAGAGGAGGGGGAGGGTGGGGGGGGGGGGGATAGCCAAGGATGGCATGGGAGAGAGAGTTACGCAGACTGAGCTTTTGGGAGGGGGCTCTCAAGTAACTGTTGGACTCTTAAAGGCATCGTTTAACAATGTTAAATCTGAGATGCATGGTCCTACGTGTTATCAGTGTCTGTGATATGGTGTAATATTGAAGCCCTAAAAGAATTGCGCTTCAAAATGATCATAAAGTGCCTCGAAAAAGTAAAAATCTTTGGGTGGCTGGTTTACCATACTCATTTTCCCCAGTAGATTGTAGTGTTATAAAAACTGTTAGGAAAACAAAAAATGAAATTTCGATTTCCAATCATAAATATTTTTTGTAATCAGAGAGGCGATCGGCTTGTAAAAGTCAAGGGATTCCTGACTGACCTAAAGGTTTATGATAATGATTACAGCATGAGCTAAATCAAGGATTTTGTTTCAGAATCTGAGGCAATGTTACCAAGTTACTTTAAGCAAATGTTATGCTCTAACGTCAAATATCTTGAGCTCATGGGTCTGGAAGAAACTGTGGTGGAAGTGGTTAAGAGAAGTGGATTGAGATGGATGGGACATGTCATGTGCTGTTAAAGAAGGGAAGATGACGAACCTGTAAAAAGAGTGAGGGCTCTGGAAGAGGCTGGTATAGAGGGAAAGGAATTAGACCAAAGATTTCATGGAAAGATATAGTGAAGAAAGAAAGCTGTGAGCTTGGTCTACATGATGAGGATGCTTGGGACAAGAAGAAGTGGAGGGGAGAAGTGTCACCATAACGCGAAAGTCAGTTAACCCCTCGTAAGAGGGAAAATGCTGACGTTAATACGTGATGAAAACGACAATGATGGAAAAGGATATGATAGATGTGTCACAAAATACTTATGGTTGCATCATCGACACTGTACATGAACGATTTACAGTGAAACCTGTGTCTAGACACAGCTCAAGTTTGGTTGGTTGGTTCGTTGGTTTTATTTACGATCATAAAATATGAAATATAAACATAACATACTTAATGAAACAAAACACTAAAATATTATGTAGACTATTCTAGAAAAAAAAAGAAAGAAAAAAATTAAATTGTTATTGAGGGATCACCTGCTTCAGATCAACCCAACAAATTTTGTCTTTTTTATTTATTTATTCTCCACTCATGGGATAGATTGCCCTTGTCAGCTATAAGCTGTTTTTCAAAGGGGTCTTCCTCGGGGTCCCAAAATAACTACAATAAAATGATTAATCAATTACTACTAATAATAATGATAATAACAAGGTTTATATATATATATTAAAGAAAAAAAAGTTTTTATAGGCAGGTGATCTCAATCTCAATGTTCTCTTTAGGATATATTTGAAAGAAAAACAATGTTCGAGGGGGGAAATTGTGTTTTTCATAAACAGGTGTTCTTTATAATGTGCAGGTGGTCTCTACAGGTGTATATTGACTGTACATATGCTGTGCGGCACCTGCTTTTATATATCTGTACATAACCATCTTCATGGACAGCATAAATTACCAAGATCAGGTAGATTCTAGGTGCTATAGGCCTATATGTATGTTGTCCTTACTGAAGATCTGTCATGTCTTGTCAAGGAGCTTATAGCACTGGGTTGGGATTTTAACCATGTTCTCCACTTCAAGAGTATGAAATACATTGAATGTACCCCAATGTCTCCACCGGAAGAGAAAATGTCAAACAACATCACCATCCCTTCCAACCGATGGCTACGCTTGTGATTGATAACGTATTGCAATAGTCTGACGGTATTTGATATTGGTCTGCCTTCATGGTTGATTCATGATTAAGATGTAAAGGTTGTGATCATGAAGTCTGGAGTTTATCTTGCAATTAGACCTTTCCAAGGTAAATTGATCAGCTTTTCTTCCTCAAATTGACAACACAACTTTTTCTTATTGCTGTTTATTGAAGTTCATTAAATGAGCCTGTTTTGCAATACATGTTCTAACATTTGTTCCTATAGAACATTTCTATTAATTAAGATTTAAAGGTTGTGATGCAGTCTGAAGTTTATCTTGCAATTAGACCAATATATATATCCAAGGTAGGGATGTGTAAGGACAAGATTGATCAGCTTTTCTTCCTCAAATTGACAACACAACTTTTTCTTATTGCTGTTTATTGAAGTTCACTAAATGAACCCGTTTTGAAATACATGTTCTAATACTTGTTCCTATGAAACATTTGTATTAGTTAGCTTTAGAGTTAGGGTATACAGTTTTGAATCTAGGATAAATTTAAGAACCTGATTGATATAAAAAAATTGATTGTAGGACAAATGTTGTCTGAGCATGTAAGGCACTACCGTGAATAGACCTTTTTAATTATTTTATTAAATTTTGTTTGACATAATAACTTTTTATCTCACTTTTTTTTTATTAGGTGCAAGTTGGCAACATTGGTGAGATATACAAGATAAGGATCAGTCATGATAACCAAACAGAGTTTGCAGGCTGGCTGTGTGAAGAGGTAAGAAAAAAAAATCAAGAAAAGGATTTTTGTTTTAAGTGAAGAATATTGAGTTAAATGTCAAATTGGATGAAGAATGCTGACAATGAATTAGGGTACTATTTTGATCTTATTGTGCTATATTACTGATCATGGACTATAACAAATATGACCTTCATTCCATATTCACCCTTCTCTAATTCGCAAAGGGACTTTGTAATAATGTTCAGATGAGAGAAAATGGTGCTAAGGTAGTGACTTCAATGCTAGATCTACAATCAAAGATAATCTGAAAGTTCGAGTGAAAACAGACCCATTATTAATGATAAAAATTGGGAAAAACTGATTTGATTGATTCCTGTATTCTCCCAACTATATTATTACAAATTTATAATTACGTTAAGGTGAATGTAAATCGTCACAAAGCAATGAACTGGCTCTATATACCATTCCAGACTTTTAAATGGTGAAAGATTTTAAAAAGCCTGTCTTTATATATATATATCTTATTATCATGGAAAAACAGTTGGGAAAATTCAAAAATGGTTGGGAGAAGTATCTGTTAGAGGGTGTCGCACAGTGATACCTTCAAAGAAAACCAATTAGTACAAAAATTACACATTTTTTTCATCAACCCTCAACAAAGTTACCAAACCACTTTAAAGTCATACAGTGTACTTGTAAAATACTTGGGAAATATTAATTATCACAATCATAACTTGACCTTTATTCATATCTATATCTCTATTATTCTTAAGACTGCACTCGTACTTGTAAAATAATTGGAAAGTATTGCTTGTCCTGGTTCATCATAATTTGACCTTTATTTCATAATCCTTTCTCTCTTATTATTATGACTAAGACCCATTTACACTTGTAAAATAATTATTAAGTATGAATTGTTACAGGCCATCAAAAATTGACCTTCATTTCATATTCACCTTTCTCTTATTCTTTAGATTTAAATTTCTTACTTGTAAACATAATTGCAAATTTAAATTTCTTACTTGTAAACATAATTGCAAATTTAAATTTCTTACTTGTAAACATAATTGTAAATTACCGTTACAGTTGTCACAGTCTATTACTCTGATCTGATCTATTCAGGAAATTCAGGAATGTTTGATGTGAACATAATTTTCTGGTCTTGCAGTATGATAGCAGTTATTAACTTATTATACCCACTGTGCAAAACGTTCGTGGAGATCCAATATTTCACAGGCTTTATATGCTTCAAAATATTATTATTAGAATAATCATGAGAAAATTCATCGCTACCAGGTACTCATTGACAGTAGGCCATGAGAATGTAGATTATTGTCAAAAGTCATTCCTACATCGAGGCTTGAACTCCCGACCTTTATATCTACAGTCAAGTGATTAACTATTCAACAGTGTCTTTTGTACTATTAAATGTGAACTGGTATTATGGAAAGCCATATTTCGTTTTCTGCATAGAAGGTCATACGTGTACATGAAATAATGTTGTTACAATATACCAGTTCTGAGACAGCTCATGCACAAATAACCCTAAATATCAACAGATCTTTAACATGTGTAGTCCTACAGGTACTTTGTGCATTAAAAGAAAAATATCACTGCCAAAGTGATGGAGCTGCTTCATGAATATCTTTTGTTTGCCCTCTTGAAAAGAATACTGCAACCTGTGAATCATAGAATGTACCATTTGGCATAAATGAATGATGATTACATAATGATAATAATAATAATACATAAGATTTATAAGGCGCCAAATCCACTTGACAGTCATATGCTCAAGGCGCAGCTTGTGCAAAAGATGAAATACATGTACATGATAAATATGTATACAAAAGTGCAATAGGAAAGGTACAGACATGAAAGGTAATGGTAATCAGTTATAAGCTAAATTAAACAGATATTTCTTAAGATTGTTTTTAACACTTCAGCAGAACTGCTTTTTTTAATCCATTGAGGGAGAGTATTCCATAATGAAGGCCCATGAACATGTATCCAGCATTTTTCTTTTTGGGTTTTAGAGTTTTGGACAAATGACTTTTAATACCCATGTGCAGATGGTACTTTTGAACAGGTTTTTAGCCAATAAACATCAAGATGGAGCGTTAATTTGATCGCTCTCATTTGGGAGTGTGAACTGGTTCTTAGATCATTCAGTCTCCTGAGTCAAAGTAGAATATGTGAATTAGGCTCTTGACTGATATTAATCTTTTCAAGAATGCATTATAAGTGTATCTCAGTTCTCCATCTTCAGACTTCAAAGATGATGTTTTCTCCGATATGAAAGATACTGCTTGAGCTTTCAAGGACCATCCACCCTCAAGTTCTTAATGATCATAGAATCTAAATTAGAGTGATGATAAGAACCTATTCTCAGGTGTAATACTTTGCTTATGCCGTACACGTTTTTAGTAGAAAATTTATTAAAAATTGATCTGACGATTAACTTACGCTGTGCACATTGATGTATATTTCAAACTTCAGACTTCAAACATGATGTTTTCCCCAAGATGAAAGATACTGCTTGAGATTTGAAGGACCATCCACCCTCAAGTTTTCAATGGTCATAGAATCTAAATTAGAGAGACTATAAGATAAGAACCTAGCTATTCCCAGGTTGTAATATTTTGCTTATGCCCTACATGTTTTTAGTAGAAAATTGGAATTTTTATAATTTCAGACTTCAAATATGATCTGTTCCCAAGATAAAGAGAATACATGAGATTTAATACAGAATTGTCCACCCATCTTTAAAGAAAACGATTCTTTAGTTTTAGAATGCAGAAAAAAATGCCTAATGAAGACAATCTGAACCCATATTCCGAACCCATTCCGAGTTTGACTGAACACAATGTACCTTTACCTTTACTTATAAATGCCATATATGTTTTGATGCATGTGCAACTTGCAATTCTACTATTTTGCAAAGGTTGCTCACATACATCCATATTATTTAATAGCCTTTGCATATTTAAATACATTTTCTTCTTGTATCCTAAAACAAAAGCTATCAAAAACATTGCATTATCATCCAGTTACTTCTGCACAATCATGAGATTTTGAATAAATTAACTCTACACATGCATGGTCATCTGGGTAGTTCTTGCAATGCTTGTGCTATCCACTTATTTTTGGTTGGCTGAAAATCCTTCATACGAAACTGATAAAGAATATCTTATTGATAGGACACTTGGCTCCTCATGGTCTTATATTGCCTGTTTGGAGCCAGAAGGGCATTAACTAAATATATTTTAACACAAAGGCAAGGACCTTCTGGTTTTGAAAAGACAATCTTAACCTTGGGCGAGCGTGACCCACATGTGTATTGGCAGATTATAGAAAAAATCCTACAAAAGAAGCCGAGTATAATGCGATTAAAAACAGAATTAAGTGGAGAGTATATAGGCCTATGAAGATGCTGGCATAGAATAGTCTTTAAAGGTAAAGGCCAGTATTGGAAACGCCCCAATTTCAAAAAAATGAAATGGAAGCTCTTATTACCAATCATGTGAAAGAATATGTTTTGACTAATACATGATGATAACAATTTTGCCGGGAAACTGCCTATTAATTGACATATTTGGTAAATTAGTTTATCTATTGGTATGTGAGAGATTAACGCACATGTCGCGCACGTGTGCGTAGTCCCATATACATTTTTCTGTGTACAGTGCTTGTAACTTTATCAAGACTGGGCCAAATTTCTTATCATTTTGATGATTCCAGAACCTTGCAGTACACACCAATACTTATATGCTAGATGATCAACCTTTTCTGATTGATTCCACAACGTTTCTTTCACAATACAATCGCATGACCATATTAAACTGGTCTTTATCTTTAATATACGGTACTGTTTACTTTCAAGTAATGAAGAAATCCTCTTTATTTCTACTTAACAGTTGCCTGCAAAGATGCTGTTACATGTACATGTTGATGAAATATTTAGTGCAAAATACAAATAAAAAGACTATAAATAGAGACATTTTGAGTGAGACTTCAAATGTTAGACTTTTTATTCATGGTCATCACCAGGAAATGAAACTAGGATTTATATACATGTACAGGAGAAGATTGGCATTTAGTGAACTTTAATGATTTTTTGTTGTAACAATACAGTGTATATATAGTTAAAGATAACGTTGAATTCTGTCACTGCGATTGTATTGTGAAAGAAACGGCGTGGAATCGATCAGTTGATCATGTAGCATATAAGTATGGGTGTATTGCAAGGTTCTGAAGTCATCAAAATGATCAGAAAATTGGTCCAGTCTTGGTAAAGTAACAAGCATTGTACACAGAAAGATGCATAAGAGACTACACAAACACGTGGCTTAAAAATTGGGACTCATTTTTAAGCTGTTTATACTACAATTGTTATATTTAGAATGTGAAGGCATTTGAACCAGGAGCCATGCTTTTAAGGGGACATTTTTACTCTAATGTTCTTTCACACTTGCACAATAACAATGATAACGCTCACAAATTATATTTTTCACCTATCCCCAGAACTCAACCTTCTCTTTAAATAAATCTTATGCTTTCAAGTTAATTACTTTGCACAACGCTTTCATGTAGGTATGCATGTATGCAGTATCTTTTGTGCGTGTGCGTTTGTGCGTGTATGTGCAGGTATGGTGACTGAATCATATTCAATTTAATTTGTTTCATGTGGGGGCCCTATTTATATTAAAGAAATTTGCTTTTGTGTGGCCCTGACTATATATTTGCTTTGTATTTAGTATGTTTAATGTATTCTAATGATGGTTGCATGTTATGCATTTCCATATCATGTATATGGTTCACTAAATTCAATTCAATTCAATATACAATTAAACTTCTTCCAGAGAAACGTAATTGGAAGTATGAAGAGCAGTTTAGAAAATGTATTGTTAATTTGTATACAGACTAGGGGGGGGGGGGGTGGGTTCCTTCATCTTCTGATATCTAGAAAATTCATGAAAAAAAAAAACATTGTAGTGGAATCATATGTAATATAGAACACATATTTTGTACACAAAATGTATGAGGATATTCTTTAGATATATAGAGATTCTGGGCATGAGTAGAAAACGGTGTTCAGGAAATGGTATCATAGCCTAATTAACAAGCCTGTTGAGATATTAGCCTATTATGATATATGTTACATGGATAACAAGCTAATGTGCTTAGATTAGCAAGTGTGCGCTTGTAAAAATGACGCCTGGCTGGAATACTCCCTAGGGAGTGGAGAATGTGCATACATTGTGTGCGGGAAAGCCTGAATCCAATGACCGGGGTAATAATATAATATATACCTGTAAAGCGCTTTGAGAGGACCGTCGGTCCTGAAAAGCGCTATATAAGAACTAGCTATTATTATTATTATTATTATTATTATTCTATGGATTTAATGTTAAAAACTTATGGCAGTATTCTTAATCATTAGTTTATTACTAATAAATACTATAACATCCACCTTCCTCCATCTATATAGGTATTGTTTATTCTATCCATCTATTCCTCTTTTTTCTGAAAATAGACATGTTGAATTAATTGAAGTTCTGTGTCATTTGTGTGTATACAAAATGTACTGTATGAGGAGATTCTTTAGATGTACAGACACATTTTGTGCATGAGTAGGATTGTGTTTTCAAACAATTGATTATCCCCTATCCAGACACTCTACATGTACATGGATAACGGCCAATCCTAAGAATTAATTTTTACCTTTATTTCCATCATCATGACAATATATACAAAGATAAAATATTGAATATCATTCAAAATACAAAGAAAAATATGAAAGTATTTAACCAAAGTACAAATGGAAAATGGTGTATCCATAAAAGCCAATAAGGCCTGACAGTTGAATGTACCAGGCGTAGAAGTTATAATAACATATACTATATGCTTAGGAAAAAAAAGAAGAAAAAACAAGGGGGGGGGGGTCATTTTGGTATGAGAGATGTAGTCTTTAAACAAATTATGCATCATAAGGAGAGAGAAGATGTTTCTTGTAAAGTCTTTTGAATGAATTGTTAAATCAAACAGACTAGTAAAGCAGGTGCGGAATTTCAAATTTTTGAACCAACATAACGAAGAGAATTGTTTAACATATATTGGAAGAAGCGATCCAATGATTTATCAGCATGTCATGGGTATGGACCGCTTTGTTGAGACTAAATATGTGCATAAGGTTTGGAGGTAGTGAGTTTGAGAAGAATCGTTGCATCAATGACACAATTTGCAATTCCTTAATATCATAAATATGTAAAGTATTGAATCTTCGAAATAAAGGCTGTGCGGGAGCTAAGAAAGGGGAATTAGACCCAAACTTAAAGCAATATTTGTATTATTGGTGTATTAAAATGAAAGCTAAAACACCATTATTATAAGTTTTGGTAAATAATCTTTTAGTCAGACTATGGTGCGCTTAGAGACACCCGTATTAAGCGCCTAATAAATATTGTGTATTATTATTAACACCAGATATCTCTACCTGTTTATTTGGATAATAATGATACATGTACAAAGAGTTTGCAAAGCTCCACTAGGGATTTATTTAGCCATTCTTAGATGAAAAGGTTGCCATTTTGTTTATTTGGCATTTGTTGTGCTAAATCATCCTGTACATGAATGTTTTTAGCGTTAGCCATTGTATGTTTGCCATGGAGCTCACCTATTGACTTCTAAATGTTTGTGAGCTAGCGTATGGACAACACAAAAACAGAGAGAAACCCATTATACATCTATTGTCAATACTTATTGATTTTTTTGCCCTGGCATCACTGAATGAATGGATCGGCTGTTTTCTAGAGTATGCTTGAACTGATCTGTTTCTTTGAAATAAGGTGAAGCGAGTATTGCGATCTATCTGGGCAGAAAATGCTGTTCACAATGTAATCATCCCCATCAAGAAACAACATTTCACTGACAAATGCATGGCATATGTACCTCTATGTCATCTCTGAAAAAAACTAAAGGCAAGAGAGATCTAACTGTAAGATAAACAAGATGATGAAATGTGCAGTTATAGTTGACGGGAGAAAACATGTTTTCATGATTTTCATGATATCCATGTCAATAGAAGTAGATTTAAGATTTTATGGTAGACACTCCTTGGAGTTTAAATTAGATTTGTTTCCTCTTCTATTATTTCTTTAGATAATAAACCTCTTTCTATATATACTGCTAGTAAAACAAGTATAGTAATAGTATGCTCATCTTACAGAGTATTTTGCTCTGAAAGAAATAAGCTACATCTTTTAAAATTCAGCAGAGCAGTTGTTTTGTCAGAGACCCCTTTCTATATGTATATACTGCTAGTAAATAGTATGAGCACCTTACAGAGTATTCTACCCATTAAGAATTGAGCTACATCTTTTAAATTTCAGCAGAGCAGTTGTTTTGTTTTATATTGTTCTGTGTAGAGAAAGTACGGCATTTGTACTTTAAATTTTGATAAGTACTGTAAAATTAATCATAATTAAGTAAAAGAAAATGATAGCTACATTGTTTTTTTTTATTTGTTTTATATGATCACTGTACATGAATTCTCTTGTCAAATGGTCTATGTGACATCATTTACAGATTACATGTTGTTGCCTCATTTTTTATTTCAAAATGTTTCAGTTATCCTTGGTTACATTAGTTTCAGTATAATTCCTTGTATTCTTCATTTATTATATCCTCAACAATGCTAACATGATATGTATGTCAGTCATAAAAGCAGTGTTTTTTTTCTCCTGACAATTAGAAACGATGCAGATGGAAGAATATCTATACTCGTCCTCTGGTTTAAAAAAAAAAATCATTGAAAGATTATTTCAGTCCATGTATACCGGTATATACAGTGTAATTGATTTTACATTTTTGTTCATGTAAATGTAAATGAATTTAAAGGAGGCCTCTATTTTTCTTGGAGGTGGTGTTTTGTCTGTATGGTGGGACTTATTTCATTTTCTTTCTAAATGGCTATCTGATGGGTTTTCTGTTTAGCATTAGTATTCGACTGGTGTTGTTTCACAAAGCCTATTTTCAATGACAAATGACAAAAATCAGTGACAAATCTGCTGATAACCAATCAGAAGCAAGGATTTCAGTAGCTTATAACAAAAACTTGTCATCAGTGACAAATGACAAGTTTTGTGAAACACCCCCTGGTTACATGTCTATCAGCCAACTTGAACCCATTATTTTTTAATTGCTTCCTTACCTTTACATGTAGTTTTTATTCATATTTTCTAACTTTGGCTCTTTCTGCAATCTTGCGGTTCGCACTGATGAATGCAAGACCCCAAAAGGCTTTATAGTATATCTTTCTTTAATGCTGTTTTTCTTATTTTGTGGTATCAGTCATCTCTTCATAAAGCTATGTCTCTCTCTCTCTCTCTCTCTCTCTTAGGTTCGAATGCAGGATACCCATACAGGGGAAGAGATTGTGTTTCCATGCCAACGCTGGATGTCACGTGATGAGGATGATGGTGAGATCTGTCGAGAGCTGCCTGTCATGAGAGATGGAGAGCCTATCTACCCAGGTAAGTCTAAATCAATTCGCTCAGATTTGAATTCAAATTCAAATTCAAATTCAAATTTAAAATCAGTTCAATTTCCATTTCAAATTCAAATTAAGATCGAAATCAAGATCCAAATTTCAATTTTCCAAATTCCAAATTCAATATTCATGTTTCCAATTTCCAAATTCAAATTTTTATTTCAAATTCAAAATCTAAATCTACTAAATCCAAATCCAAATCAGAAATAAAACTTTAATGCTACTCTCAATGCAAGTACAATTCCAGTCCCAAATAGAAAATTACAGTTTGAAAGAAATTAATATTGAAGATAATCAAAATTGTTATTAAAATTCGATCTTGAATGAAAAAAAGAAAATTGATTGTTAAATCGACTGCTAGAATAAATAATGATTAGTTTGTTGATTGGTTCAATAAACTGATTGAATGTTCTTTGACTATATGTGATGAATAGATTTATACACATTAAAGATACACAGCGAGTTGTAAAGATGTATCTCTAAATTGAGATATTGCAGCATGTGTGTGTATATTAGATTGTAGTTAATGTACATCTTTAAGCAAAGAATAAACTAACAAACAAACAAATTAATAAAAGGGGGGGGGGGAGGGATAAGAAGTGAAATAAAAAGAAAGCAACATCAAGAAGGACAGAAAGTATTTTTATCATCTTCATTTTCGAATGTTACAATTCATAATTGTGCACTACTGTATGTGTAATTGTGTATTATAAAGGTGTACAATAAATTGAGATATTTTTGTACCTGTGTTTGATAGCATTTAACAAGTAGTACATTGATTCAGAAGACAGCATAAATAAATCTCTCTCCACTATGAATATTATTATGATTAAGCATTTGGTGTCACAAGCTGTGCCTGGGAGCGGAAAAGCGAACCAAAACGCTGCTACCCTCAGTTCTCATCTCTCCTCCTTATAAAACTGTTCCGTGTCGGAAGACAGGAAAAGAGAGATGTATTCTGTACTATGAACGAAACAGATGCCTTCAAGCATTAATTTTTGTTCAAGTTTGTTGTCCCAGTTCATTCATACATACAACATAATGCGTAGCAACAACAAAAAACATCCCACAACAACAATATAGAAATATCTAACATTTTGAACACCTTTATTTTAATATGAAAATACTAAAAAAGTTGCTGCATTGGTATGAATTTATTTTTAATAAATGTTCTGTTTTAGTTCAATTTTGTGTTATTACATCATTTTCTTCAAACTGATATTCAAACATCAATTTAGCCATTTTTTGCAGCCCTTCTAAGCCTATAGCTCCCTTCTCCCCTAGTAATATATCATAGGATACCACCTTTTTTTTTGGCACTTGATGTTGATGCTTTATAGACCACTTGCTGCTGTGTGCTATGAAAAGGGAAGATGGTAACCTAGAAAAAACATCCAAGAAAACACATTCTTGGATGTCCTTCCTAGCCCTTTGTGAATTGCCACATTTTAAATCTTATAGTCCAAGTGTTTACATGTATTTTAAAAACCACATCACCAACAGTTATCTTGATCATACAACGGCAGCTTCAAATGAAAGGAGCAATCGATTGAATCGAAGATCGTCTATAAAATTACACAAAGAATATATATAACAAAATCAAGAAGAAATAGAGAGAGAGATTGAGAGTGCGAAGAAAAAGAAATGCTGAGAAAGATGTATCAGAAATGCTTTATGATATAAAGCTATTATTTGTATAGTGCTAGACCCTTTTTGTAGGAGGGGTCCTTACACCGGTGTTATCATTGTGCAAGAAATGCATCGAGAATATAAAGACATTAATACTGAGTGACATTTTCTGGGGTATGGGGTATTAAGCAATTTCATATTCGTAAACATGAGTCAATTCCCATTAGGTAAATTGGAACTGTGAAGGTGAACTGATATGTGAGGATGAATTGTGTATTGTGTGAGGATTAATAATACATATACTTCCTGTGTAAAGGGTAAAAAATGGTTACCATAGTAACAAAAACTCTTATTTTTGATATGATTCAAGTTCCCTGTTTGTAAACTTTGCATTTTTATGGGGGTGACATGCTTTCGAGCAATAGCAATTTTCAATTGCTTTTGTCACCCCTTACCAGCAGATTGTATCCTTCTCTCTCTCCTCTTTCCTAAAACTGTTTACATGTATTATGAAATCTCTCTGTATTATCTGATTGTAATAAGAATGATAATAATTTGAAGTAATTCAACAAAATTTAAATACAGGTTTGCCCCTAAACACAATCCTGATGGGCTAAAATTTGTATTATACTAGTAACACTACATTTTTGGGGTTTGCAACACTTGATGCAGAAGACACATAGTATAACATGTTCATGAATCAATTTCCTAATTACATGTACTGTACACTATGTGTGATTTGTTTGTTTTTTAGACAAACCAAATACAGCACATTTTATTCAATAAATGGGAAGTTCTTTAAAATTGAAGCAAAATGAAAAGTAAAATGGATAGGATGACTCTTAGCCCTTGCAAATTTTGCCAAATTTAATGTTTTAAATTTCCTCCTTTACCAGAAAGAATGTTACATTTTCTTTTTCTTAAAAAAAAGAAAATGTCAGTTTCTGATTATCACTAAAAATTTAAAACGTTTTACCATGTACACATGAACTAATTCAATCATGACTTTGACTTATGAGCTGTATTCAAATAGAATAAAACATTATTTTAACGACATAAAGTTGGAGCTTTGAAGTTTTGATGTTTTTCCACACTGCCTGGCGTGTCAACATGGCAAGCTTAATCCAACAATAAACGAAAAGACCAAGGATGAATATTACGTCTCATCAAACGGTTCAAGCAACCGTGCATGAGTTATATATGGGTCAACAGCGGCAGCATTGAATTTAATTGATTTTATTTGTGCAGCTTGCCTCTGTGCAGGTTGAATGTCGGGTTTTATGTGAGAGAAGGAAAGCGTAACGGGTGATTTCATTTATTTAGATTGGTTGAGCTCGATGTAAAGCTTCCATACTTGTGTTCTTTATCATGTCTTTTCACCCCTCGTTCATTTTCTCTCCTTTCCCGTATATGTGGGCTTTCATGCTTTCACTTTTGTGTGAAGGGCTATAGACTGTGATGTTTCTTGGTGGTATCTTTACGGCTGAAACATCTTGTTTGATGCTTTTAAGGTCTGTTGATCTTTAACTGCAATTGCGTTACTTTTGTGGGATTGTAAAGAGCTATAGATCGCGATGTTTCTTGGTAGTTTCTTTACAGCCTAAACATCTTGTATGATGCTTTTAAGGTCTATCTTTAACTGCAATTGCGTGCTTTCTGCCTTGCACTTTTGTGTGATTCTAAAGAGCTATAGACTGCGATGTTTCTTGGTAGTTTCTTTACAGCCTAAACATCTTGTATGACGCTTTTAAGGTCTATCTTTAACTGCAATTGCATGCTTTCTGCCTTGCACTTTTGTGTGATTGTAAAGAGCTATAGATCGCGATGTTTCTTGGTAGTTTCTTTACAGCCTAAACATCTTGTATGACGCTTTTAAGGTCTATCTTTAACTGCAATTGCGTGCTTTCTGCCTTGCACTTTTGTGTGATTCTAAAGAGCTATAGACTGCGATGTTTCTTGGTGGTATCTTTACAGTTGAAACACCGTGTATGATGCTTTTAAGGCCTATCTTTAACTGCAATTGCATGCTTTCCGCCTTTCATTTTTGTGCAATTGTAAAGAGCTATAGACTGCAACGTTTCTTAGGAGTATCTTTACGGCTGAAACATCTTGTAGGGATGCTTTTAAGGTCTATCTTTAAGTGCAATTGCGTGATGAAAAGTGCCCCTTACAAGTGGCAATGTCGGATGGCCATGAACTGTACATGTAGAAGAATATTTGTTTTTTTTGTAAACGATGGATTTGCTTTCAAAATCAAATTCAATGCATACTTTTAGAGCAAAAGTTGTTTTTGGCCAACCTAATTGACTCAAGCCTGGACACAAAGAATCTTTGTTTTTTGTGTAAAAGACAGATTTGCTAACAAATTCAAATTCTATGCATACTTTTTTGAGCAAAGGTTGTTTTTTATAGTTGTAGGGCGTAGCAAGGAGAATACTGTTTGTTTGGAACTAGAAGGACATTAACTCATATACTTTAAAACAGAGTTAACGCCCTTCTGGCTCCAAACAGACGTTAATGTTTCTTCTTTTTAAAATCTTCAAAAAGCTTCATGTATGCAAGCATATCATGAAGATGAACTCTACACTGCAAGCAGTGTTAGGAAGAGTCTTGCAATTCATCCATGTATTTATGTGAAGAAATAGATAACGCATTTACAACATTGAAAGTAGTGCTGTAACATCACGGATATCTCCAATTCCGTTTAACCGCCAGTCAAAACCGGACGTTTTTTGGTTAAACGATTTAAAAAAAATATTTAAAAAAAAAAAAAAAAAAAAAAAATAGTTTTTTTTTTTTTTTTTTTTTTTTTACCGACTCTGTCGGCAACTTTCATTTAACTGCGAGGTGCATTTAAAGGGGCCGATTTGTGCTTGTGAACTTGTCACAAATAATAGTAACAATGTTGTTTTTAGAAGAATGTGTAAAATCATTAATGTAAATTAAAAACAGTAGAGGACCTAGGACAGAACCTTGTGTAAAAGTTGGATGAATTATTATTATAAACTACATATTGAGATGATGAGATCTATTACAAAGATTACTTTCAAACCAAGATGACAGACAAATTGGAGTGTTGTTCTAGTTTTGGAGTGGTGAGTCAACACACAGATTACTGAGCTGGGAGACATTGCCAGGCATAGTGCCAGGTGGAGGGGCATAAATCGAAACTTAAAAAAAAAAAAAAAAAAAAAAAAAAAAATCGGGAAAACGAAACCGTCCAATTGAAAACGGAATCCGCCATGGGCGGTCGGATACCGGACGGTTAAACGTTTCACTACAGCACTAATTGAAAGTCAAAGACTTGTCTGCGATAATAATGCAGTAACGTGACTTACATGATATATATACATGTATGCCAAATAGGGGCTTTCAACAATTCATTGAGTTTGAATATTGAAAGGAAACGTGAGCAACTTGAAATCATGCAAAGTATACCTTGTACATGTACTGGCATCAGTCAAGCATATAAGATATGGTTTCTATGTATTCAAGGCACGTTAGGTTTGATAGTAAGCTCATGTGATTCTTTTATTAAGAATTCATAACACGAACACGTACAATATTTCAGGTTCTGTTCATATATTGCATATTTTCATGTATGGCAAATGGGGGTTGAAAAAATAGTTATGTGCAATAGAGGTCCTATTCATATTAATTGACTTACATGTTTTTTCTCAAAAATTGTGAAACACTGTATGCTTTATAAATTAACACCTCCCCCCCCCCCCCCCCCCCCCCCTTGACAGTAAAATGCTATGGCTTATAGTTGCATATATGTGAATGAGCATTATTAATAATGATGATGATGATTGTGATGATGATGATGGTGATGGTGGTGGTGGTGGTGGTGGTGGTGGTGGTGGTGGTGGTGGTGGTGGTGGTGGTGGTGATGATGATGATGATGATGATGATGATGATGATGATGATGATGATGATGATGAAGAAGATTCGTAAGACAGAAGCTTCAATCTTTCTTGCCATTCTGAAAAATATGTGGAAAGTTTACAGGACCAGTATTTTCACTGAGCTCAAGCCTATTTGTATCATCTTGAATTTGATTTAAATAGTGTGGTTTAAAATACGATGACTTCTAAGTGCAAAATTACTTGTACATTTAGCATACATACTGATCATGTATATTACTTATCTTGAGTAGATGTAAAAGTACTACATCTACAGTACATGAAGATTACGAAAGCAACATAAAGTAAAATGGTAAATAGTTTGTCACAAACTGAAGAAGGGTTGATTCATTCAATCAGGACTTAATATATCAATTTTTTGATTCAAATTGGCAACAGTGGTCCTTGTATTTAGTCAGATTTAATTAAAACTTTCATCAGTTTGCTTCTCTGATTTTCTGATTTCTTTTAATAGAGTAGTTGTCTATTTGGGTTGGATTTCTTTGTAATGAAAATTTGTTTGAGTTGAAAACAAACTTCAGTAAGGTCATTTATTCAGGATAGGAATTTTAAGGGCTACATTTATCAGATTAAAAAAAAATCAAATTGGCAACTATAATTTTTTCTCTTATTACTACATGTACATTTGCCAATAAAATATCATGTTGTTGAAATTAACAACCGACAGAAAATGCAGTTATGTATGTTTAAAAATATCATGTTGCTGAAATAAGCAACTGACAGAAATTTTTTGTATGTATGTTTAAAATTGCTAATTTTGTATTCCTTTAATACATTCCTTTACATTTGAGGGAGAGAGAGAGAGAGAGAGAGAGAGAGGCAGAGAGACAGAACGAAAGAGATAGACATACAGGGATAGAGAGAGAGAGAGAGAGAGAGATCGACAGACAGAGAGAGGGAGAGAGAGATAGAGAGAGATAGACAGTGATAGGGAGAGGGTCAGACTGAGAGAAATAAAAAATTCATTGAAATTTACTTTAGCTGCTACCTGCATAGAAAGACCAAATGCTTTGTTTCCCTTCAATAGTACTTCTCGGTGAAATCTATTTGAAAGGAACCTGTACATAGAAAACCTTCTGTCTATAAAGACTGTTTTTTGTCTATCTTGAGCAGTACGTGTCTTTATGCAAGTTTCACTGTACAATGCACTGATACATGTCTCAAGTTGCTCCAGATAGATTTCCAAAATAATTACTAGTTCGTGTCAGCTGATTTTTCATCCCGGTTTAATGATTACCCCTGTATATTCCCCTCTTTCCAGTGGTGCTGTATCAAGTAACCATGACGACGGGCAACTACTGGAATGCATCCCCGGAGGCTGATGTTTATATCACTCTGTACGGGGAGAGAGGAGATACAGGGCCTAGGTTACTGCACCGATCAAAACGGAAACAGAAGTTTGAAAAGGGAAAGGTGAGTAAGCGTGTCATGTGAAATTATACGGTACTGAAAACTCAACATACTGCAGACCATTGTGTCTTTGGACTTTTATCGAGACAAAGATCCAATAGACAACAACACTGCAACTAGGGATATATGTACATGGGGTGTTTCACAAAGATCCTAAGTTGGACTTAGCAATTATGGAAAGCCGTTAACATCTTTGAAATAAAGTGATTTTAAATGGCATAGAATGTTGATTCAAATCATTCACATTTTCTATCATCATGGAGATTTCATGTTCTTGATGTGGAATTTAGGAAAAGTTTAAAATACTTGAATTTTTGCTTTTTAATATATTTTTATTCTAAGGCTACAAATGGCTCTCCATAATGTTTAAGTCCAACTTAGGATCTTTGTGAAACACCTCCCAAGTATATGTAAATTTACCTTAAGTTGTACACCAGTTTCGAGTTCGTGGACAGATTCTGAAGGACTTTCTGGGCAGCAGCACTCGTTCTATGGCCCTTCGTCTCGGGGCACAGTGCAGTTTAGAGAACCCCTTGGGCAATACGGTACTTTTAATCTTCCCCTCAAAGCAGTCAATATTTGTTTTATATACTCCATCCCAAGTGTCAATTCCTAATAAGAGATATTTTAACAAAACATGCCTGTTAGTATTTATTTGCACAGTCAAAAGATATTAACAAGTCTAAAAGCATTGCACGTGTCTCACCGCGCATATATGTTGTTAACTTCACACGCAAATATTGCGTCCTTGAATTGTACACACATGTAGAACTATGCCTGGTCATTATTTTTTGCTATACTGTCCAGCAGTCGATCAGTAGCGAATTTCATACCTGCAGTTTTGACCACTCAGAGGCCTACAATCTTCATGTGTAATGCGCAGTATATGATATTAATTATAACATGTACATATACATGTATGTTTACTATGACCCAAAAAGTGTATAGATTTATCTTATTTCAAAGAATTTTACTACATTTGCTAAAATCTAGATTTCAATAAAGCTAAGGTATGGGCATCGTATGTTGAGAGAGCACGGCTATAATTCATTCTGGATTGTTTGTCCTGCAGTAGATTGATTGTTTGAACCAGTTAAATAATAACAAACCTCACAAAAGTGTGCACTTTAGTGAACTGTATTAAGCACATATGGTGTCGGGCCTTCTCACCTTGATTTCTTTATCTTTATTTATCCTCATTATGTACTCGGCCCCTATACCGGTACATTTTCTACCAAAATGGTTCGACACATGTTTTTTTGTTTGTAATCTTGAACATTCAGTGTAAGCTTTGCGGGATTCTGTGAGAATTTACTTTCTATCATTGCCAGAACTCAAGCTTATCTTTAAGCTTAGAAACAAAGACTTGATACACATATACAATTTACATGTTGTGCAAGAAATTGAAAAGACATTGAAAATGATTGAATAAGTAATACTCTTATGGGATAACAGTGATGTAAGCATTACCATAGCAACAACAGAGAGTTACAGGCCCATTATGAAGGCATTGTAAGGGACAAGTAAAAAACTATCAGCTATTCCGTTTTTCTGTTTTTCTCCATGGATAAGAATACGACATGATTTCGTAATTACGTTTCAAATATTGGAGCCTTGATGGAAAATTATTTTCTTTCTAATCAAGCCAACTGTGTATTCTTCTATTAAACTTTGTTAATGAATGAGGGATATTTTTTGTCAGTTTTTCCTCAGCTTTCTATTTTCATGTCTTGTATTATTCACCCTCTAGGTATATCTATATTTTGCTAGATACTTATCTGTCTCTCTTTATCTCTCTCTTGTCTTTTATATGTGCCTCACTCTTTGTTCAGTTTGTCTATTTCTCTGTTTGTTATTTTATTTATTGACAGCTAGTACCTCTCTGTCTTTTTTTTTTTTTAATTCCTCCTCTTCCTCTGCTATATCTTTTGTTTGTTTCCCAGTGTCATTTCATCCTTTCCTTTTTTCTTGCCTTTTATTCTCTTTTCTATTAATGAAGACAAATCCTACCAAAGAATTTAAATGGTATAAGATATATATGCAGACTATGAATACACACAGGTGTACATATACATTCAGGTGTGTATGTATATTTGTAAATGTGCATGCAGCTATGTTTACTTGAAATCGAAACTTGTAGTACTAGTATGTAATATCTGCGGTAGACAACTTTTACATTTCAAAACATTACTCTTCAGAGTTCATCTTGAGACTTGAGTAAATGTTTGTAAATGTTAATTCAAAATGAAATGATATAATAATAGTTCGTTCTTATAAAGCGCTTTTCAGGACCGCAGGCCCTCTTTAAGCGCTTTACAGATATATATTATTACCCCGGTCATCAGATTCACGCTTACCCGCACACATTTTATGCACATTCTCCACTCGCTGGGGAGCATTCCAGCCAGGCGTCATTTTTACAAGCGTACACTCCCCACCCAGGTGCTAAATGGGTGCCCGGTAGGATGCGAACGTATAATGTATAGTTTGCTCAGCATCGTGAGCGTCTGTAAAATGGCGCCTGCCTGCAATGCTCCCCAAGAAGTGGAGAATGTGCATACTTGTGTGGGGGCGAACTTGAATCTAATGACAGGTAATAATATATCTGTAAAACGATTAGAGACATCGTTGATGTATTAAGTGCTATATAAACAAGGAACATTATTTTTTTTTTACATAATTTCCAGCGTGTACATGAGTTCATGTGTATATATCAATTTGAAAAATATTGTTTTTATCTAATTCTGTTAAAAGATATCGCTAACATTATTTATGTTCATATTGTATTATAGACCGATGTTTTCAGTTTGGAAGCTGTTTCCTTGGGAACAGTAAACAAGATTGTGATTGGCCACGACTCTGCAGAACAAGGTGAGACTGCTCTTTGTCATTTTATACTTAACCTCTATACAGTGCGTCCCAGAAAAAACAAAACTGAGAATTATCAATGTTTTATCATAACTTAATCACAATTATAATTAATAAGTGACTCATATTTGTAAAGCTTACACTGTAGATCCTCGTCTTTCATTTAATGCAACTCATATGATGCATATTTCATGCATGAGTGAGTAAAAACAATTTGAAGAAAGGGTACCAAAAAGTCATATGGCGAACGGTATCTCAGTTTCAAAGAGAAAATTACATTTCTAGAAAGTTCATTTTGTGTACGACGCCTAAATCGGGAAAAATGAGCCAGGAATAACAAAGTTCTGTTTGTTTCAAGTAATGCTTGCATTTCCATAATTCCATTAAACGAATCTGTTCCACTGGCTGTCTGCCTTAAGAACAAAGAAGACGAAAGACTTCATGCATGGCTGATCGTAAAATAAATGGTGTTTGTTGTTTGTTGCTATGGCAGGCAGCCATTTTTTCTGGGATGCACTGTATATATATGAAAGGGTACCAAAAAGTCATTTGGCGAATGGTATCTGAGTTTCAAAGAGAAAATTACATTTCTAGAAAGTTCACTTTGTGTACGACACCTAAATCAGGAAAAATAAGCCAGGAATAACAAAGTTCTGTTTGTTTCAAGTAATGCTTGCATTTCCATAATTCCATTAAACGAATCTGTTCCACTGGCTGTCTGCCTTAAGAACAAAGAAGACGAAAGACTTCATGCATGGCTGATCGTAAAAAAAAAAAAGGTATTTGTTGCTATGGCAGGCAGCCATTTTTTCTGGGATGCACTGTATATATATATTTTGTAAATTCTTTTTCATCTTCCTAGTGTCTTGAATCCTTTAAATTTTGTATATGAAGAACACAAATTACACATATGTTGAGCCAGTGTCTATGAAGGTTAAAAAAGACGACGAGCAGAATGTACCAAAGAGAATGTCGTAGACAGACTGTATATACTTGTAAGAGAGAGAGAGAGAGAGAGAAAGAGAGTTGAAAAATAGAGAGAAAGAGAAATGTATTGTGTATGTAAATTGGATTAGAGGAACTACATCCTGTTAATTGCACTCGAGAAATCATATTTCAGTCGCAGATGTAAATTTTTTATTTTCTATGTCCGATTATTACTGTTTCCTCCATTTTATTTCCATCTTAGGCAAAGGGTGGTTTCTGGACAAAGTGGTTGTCAAGGAAACGGATGGAGGTGGGCCAGAAGCGGTGTTTCCATGCTACAGGTTCGTCATGAAACACTTGATAATTATAATAATGATAATGAAAATGTTGATAGTCACAAAGATACACCGTACAAGTTTTACCAGTAACTATAATAAAGAAGATAGCAAATTTGTAATGAATTTGTCCAGCTCTTTGTTTTGCAACCTATCATTTTTTCAGGAAAACAGTTTTAAATTCTGACAGAGTTTCATTTAGGCTGCTTCAATAAAACAATATGATAATGAAATAAACATATAATGATACAAATAAAAAATCTTTCAAATTTAATCTCGAGGTCTGATGTGGATAGCCGTATTTCGAAAGATATCTTTAAACCAGTTGATCGAGAGTCTAATACAAGACCATATACATTGTACTAACATTACATGACTGTTCAAATAATTAATTAACTACATTTTCTTTATAAATAATTACCGGAATTACTGCAAACTACTGTGTCAAAAGTATTGCACATATGGCAATGACAAGTTTGACATTTGACCTTGAATGTTTGACAGGTGGTTAGATGCTGGGGAGGATGATGGGAACACCGTTAGAGAACTCTTCGCTAACAACAAACCAGTCAGCTGTGAGTATCAGTATTCAAATCATTAGTGCTTATACATGTACATTGTTCATATATACAATAAATAATGATGGTCTGTTCACAAAGAAATTGTTTTGTAAAATTGTTTTTTGTAAAACAATTCTTTGTGTAGGGATCATCATCTTGTCTTGTATATTTGTGTGTTTTCTGGAACTCTGAGCAGAAATCTAGACTAGAGTTTTGAGATTTAAAATAAAAAAGTATTGTTGCATACAGTGAATTCCACACTGTTGCAAGAAAATACTTTACTTGTTTTAAATGTTTTGAATATTCTTTAATCTCAGCTCCTGTATTTATGTGTTCATACTAATGCATGATGTACATACATGTAGCACATCAAGTCTATCAATGCATGTGCATTTAATAGTCGACTCTTAGAGAATTCACTAGGGAATTATCCAAAGTGTTTTCATTTATTTATTGTTTCGTTTTTACGTCAGTTTGAGAAAATCATTCCAGATGAGTGAGTTTTATGGGGTACGTGCCTCGATTTTTCAATGCTCAGCCAAGCAAAGCACCAACCAGATTGAAAACACGTGTCCCTTGTGATTTAAAAATAGCGACACGAAAAGAAAAGAAAAAACAGATTGAAAACACGTATCCCTTGTGAGTTTGATAAAAAACAGCGACAAGAGAAAAAAAAGACTGGAAAAGGGAAGAGGAGAGTGAATTGTGGTTTTAAGCTCGATCCACTGAGTGAGTAAAAAAAAAAGAAAGATGTATGGTAAAGGAAAGTTGGAAATGGAAAAGGAAAGTGGTTTGTGGTTTACATCTCAATTCTCTAAGTTTTCTCCATTATATGCCGCTATGCTTGATTGCACAATCAGAAATGAAAATCTGATTTGAGCGGTTACCAAAGACAAATGTGCAGATTTGTTAAAGTAGGTGTAAATGGGTTTTACTTAGCGGTGAGATCAAGAAGAGTTTGTTCACCATGCAATGTTGCTTGTATAAATACATGTACATGTATTTTTGTTATATATGCTTAATCTAATGTGGAAATACACTTACATTGTACACATATTAAAAGAGTATGTGGTTTTTATGCTTGTCTGCATTTATCGTAAAGTGAAGGCTACACTGAAGGTAGTTGCGTATATAGCTACAAATAATAAAAAGTCCTGTCACGTACATGTACAATAACAGCTAGTGCTTATATCATATTGAAACTGAATATTGTAGGTGGTTTACCATATATATACGCTCATATTTGCAAAGACATCAGTGCATGTTTTTCTTTTTATATTATTATTATTATTATTGGCAAGATTATTGCCATTGCATTTAATATGTTCCATTTATTCTTCCATTTTTGTTTTTCCTTTACAGTTGAAAAAGAAATGGTAAGTTTATGCTACTGTTTCAATGTTTAAAAAAAAACACAGCTTATATGAGAGGGTTTCATTTCCATTTTATATAGAAAATTGAACATATTTTTTCTAACATTTTGTTAATTTGTGTGTGTGTGTGTGCATGAAGAAGTCCTGGCCAGAATCTCCAATGTATTTGATTTAAGAGAAAATAATTAAAAAATATCTTTAAAAAAAAGAAGTGAATTTCCACTGAAGCGAATCCTCGCCCGCATTACTATAAATCCCGACTGACCTGGTTCGGTCACGTTTCCACAATGAACAGCGTACGCTTCACTAAACGCTTTAATACTCATGGAGACTGTTGTTGGAACAAATAGGCAAAGAAGACCAAGGAAGAGATGGGAAAGTGACATCCTTGTAGGCAGCACCTTCCGGAAGGCATATAGAATTGCTCAAGATAGGACAAAAAATGGTTTAAATATGTTTGTGGATCCAACGTCCTTAGGGACACAGTGACATCATAGCTTAGCTTAGTGTGTGTGTGTTTTGGGGGATATTCATTTAAGTTTTAGTCTGCATACCGTACATTTATCCTGGACAACATACAACAAAGTGTAAATTATACAACACAGGCAAAAAAAGATTTATGTGTCAAGAAATTTGTTCTGATTTAACTGCAAGGGGGTGTTTCACAAAGATCCTATGTTGAACTTTTCTCCAAGTTGGACTTAACAATTATGGAAAGCCGTTCGCATCTTTGAAAATATTTTGTAAAAGTTATTTAAAAACATAAAATTCAAATTATTTATATTTTCTATTATCAAGGAGATTTCATGTTCTTGATATGGAATTTATGAAAAGTCTAAAATACTTGAATTTTTGCTTTTGAATATATTTATTTTAAGGCTACAGATGGCTCTCCATAATGTTAGGTCCAATTTAGAGTTAAGTTCGACTTTTGTGAAAATATTTTGTAAAAGTTATTTTAAAAACAAAAAATGTTTATTTTCTATTATCAAGGAGATTTCATGTTCTTGGTGTGGAATAAGTCTAAAGTACTTAAATTTTTGCTTTTGAATATATTTATTTTAAGGCTACAAATGGCTCTCCATAATGTTAAGTCCAATTTAGAGTTAATTTCAACGTAAATTTTTTATGAAACACTCCCCTGATGAATTTTTGTCATTCTGCCCTGATATCTAGTGGGACCAGGAGAAGTGGAAATATGAGACAGGATGTCAGGTGACCTTGGTGTCAAAGGTCAGTGGACGAGCGCTCCAGGTACTCACAGACAACTCCGTGGATGCGTGTGGCGATCCTGAATCAGCCAACAAAAATGGTGAGCCTTTAGCATCCCTTAATTGGCCCTGTAACATTGAATTTGAATCACCATTGATTTTTAGAAACCTTGTTACAATTATTTGTATTTTTCCATGCACTGTTGCATGTATCTATATACTGTATATTTGTAACATATAAATTAGTCTTCCATTAATATTTATTGTCAATTAATGGTTGATGATAGGAGATACAATTAATTTGAAGGATAAGTTTAATGTTACATGGCCCTATCCTTTTTTTAGGATTTTGTCCTTTTACCAATTTTCAAAAGGTGATCAGCATAGTGTAAAAAGAAGGACTTTCACAGGTTTTTGAGATTGCAAGTCTTTTGGTATATGTGTCAATACTGATGTACATGTAGCTCTTTGACATTAGGCAGCAGTTAATGCAGGATGTGCATTATTCAAGATGATTCATCATTCAAGAACATGACTTGTACAATGTACATCTATGTGTATATATCGTTTTAATCTTCATCTGTCTGTTGCCTGGGCGATATACCAGGTCAAGAAAGTTTGAGGCAACACTCGCACCTTTCAGACCTTTCAGACCTTAACCAGAGCTGTACCTAACCCTTGAAAACCACAATATTAGTGGAACCACAAAGTGTGTGAATTCTGAACAAAACTTGTTTTTGGTTATACATGTACCGGCACCAGCATGCAAGACAATGATTAATTGTTCACACACACATATTCTAATATGCGATTTTTTAAATACTTTTCTCTGTTGCCATAGCGATATACCTGGTTGAGAAACTACGAGGCAACATTCGCATCTTCCGGACCCAAGGCAAACCAGAGCTGTATCTTTCTCTTGAGAACAACAAGGTCAGTGGAGCCAAGAAAGCCGGCTTGCAATGTGAGTTCAAACTGAAGGTCCAGCCTGACCGCTCTGTTGCCATCGAGTCGGTCAAGTCACCCAATCAGATGTTGACCTTTGTTCAGAGTGGACGACCTCATGACCCCCGAGGTGCTGGCCTGGGACCGCAGAAGCTCTTCTACTGCTACGTCAAGGTGAGCTCAGCTACCCGAAATTATTACAATGAAACCTCCTGTAATAATAATAATAATAATAGCTAGTTCTTATCAGGACCGAAGGCCCTCTCAAAGCGCTTTACAGATATATATATTATTACCCCGGTCATAGGATTCAGGCTTACCCGCACACAATGTATGCACATTCTCCACTCCCTGGGGAGCATTCCAGCCAGGCGTCTTTTTTTACAAGCGTACACTTGCTAATCTAACCACATTAGCTTTCGCATCCTACCGGGTACCCATTTATCACCTGGGTGGTGAGTGGCAAACATAGATCAATGTCTTGCCAAAGGACATTATAGTGCCGCGGTGGGACTTGAACTGCAAACCTTGTGATCCACAGTCCGGTGACATATCCACTCGTCCACGACACCTTTTTAGCTACCACCTGTATCAAAGAACCTCTTTGAATAGAACAGCAGATGTATCTCTCACCTCATGAAATAGTTTTACTATTCTCAAACATAAACATTGAATATTTGAATAATAGTTTGTACATGTATGTACATTAATGCATCTGCATAGAGTGATTAAATGTTTAATGGTTAACAAAAACAAAACAAAAAACATTTCCAAAGCTTTATAGACACAACAATTTCCCTAACACTAACCCTAACCCTTAACCTAACCCTAAACCTAACCCAAAACCCAATTGCAACCCTATCCCTAACCTGTTCTTTTGACAATATAATGCTAGGAGCAAATATTGGATCACTGTACTACATGTACATGTACATGTGCATGTATGCTGTACTAATACATGGTGAGCCTCTATTATGTTTAATATGTGATATTGTTGATTATATCATGTTTAGCTCTTTACTTGTAATTTTTAAAACCTTTTATCTTGCCTTTTAATCAGATTAAAATCTTGTGAGGCACTTCCTGGCCTTCTTTGTACTCATACAGTCATGTACTTTTTGTATCGTTCTTGTTACAGAGTATAATTAGATCTTTTGATACTTAATTTTTGGCAAGCCTTATTTCCTTGAGTCTCAGACAAACATGTTTTTATTTAGAATTCTTATCTGATATTAAGCCTCATTTAATCATGATGTAGTTTTCGATAGTTTTTATCTCAATTGTCTGCATTACTGAATATTTCTTGCCATCTCCCCTCATCTGTAATGATAAGGTACCCTTTGTCTGTCCCTTCCTCTCTTCAACTGTCTCTCTCTCTCTCTCTCTTTCCGTCTCTCTCTTTCGTCCCTCTTTTCTCTCTTTCTTTCTCTCTTTCTCTCCTTCTCTCTCTTTGTCATCACTCCAACTCTCCCTCTCCTACACCTCTCCCTATCTCTTTCTTTTTTTAACAAAAATTTGAATTTGATCAATGAATTTTTATGAAATGTCTATATGTTTGATTATTGATTTATGGCATATTTTGTGTTATTTCAATTCGAATTGCAATTGTATTGTATATAACCTTGTGAAATGGATCGCAATTCAGCCATTAGCTGCGATGATCTTTTAAATAAAAACCATTTCTATCTATCTATCTATCTATGATGTAAACTGCCTCCCCCTCCCTCACAAAAAAATAAATACAACAACAAAATGAAAACCATTTTAAATGTAATTGCATTGCAAGTGGTAGTGTATAAAAAAAATAATAGCTTCTACTACGTCTTTCGGATGATGACGTTAAAGGTCGGTCCCCAGACGTAAATAATCATATCTGATTGATACACGTCTGTAGAAACCCAATTACACAAACACAAGAGCCCTTACCTGTACCGACTTAAGTGTTTGTGCATTCCAAGATAAATTTGTGTTTGATTAAATTGATCACACTTTCTAAAATTCATAACTTTTATATTTGTAATCGTTTTTTGCTCAAACTTTCTCTGACTTGTTTCTTTCCTATTTTTGCTTCTACTAAAACCACCTTAATATCAGGGTGGACTTCCCCTTTAAATGCCTCCAAGTCTTCAACACTTGCTCCTGTGCCCACTGTTTCACTCCATCTTATACTCTAACTGACCTGTCATTCTTTACCATTCTATATCTATTTTCTAAATGTTTATGATATTTCTTCTAGGGTTATAATACGATTGCAGGTCCCTCAGGGAGAACAGCATTTATACTGATGAGGATTACCTGTTTAAAAGGACATTTTAAAAATTATTATTATTATTATTTTATCTTTTTTATTATTATTTTAAACATCTAATTAAAACTATAACCATAAAACTATAACTGTAACTTTTCATATCCACTGAATGACAAATATATGATAATGTAGGGGTATTCTTACATAAATTTGATATTCTTATCATTATTATTATTGTTGCCACTATTATTATTACCGTTATTAATATTATTATCATCTATTATTATTATTATTATTATTACTCTCTTTTCATAATCAGGGTACATTCAGTGACAACGGCTTGGTAGTCTTCTACACCTCACGCACGCAGACCCTGAGCATAGACGGTGAGGACGCCGTCATAGCAACCGGGCAGAAGACAGAGAGCGCGTACTGGCGGGTCAGGAGGGTGCCCGGCCAGAAGACGAGGATGTTTGAGAGCCAGACCAAACCTGATCAGTACCTGAGGATTAAAGATGGCAAATGTAACGTGACGGTAAGCAGTGGTTACTAAAGCATTTCTGGGGTGTGTTTTACAAAGACAAAGATTGACTTAAAACTTGGACTTAACCATGGCAGGCCATTCATGCCACTGGTTGCTCTCACCGTTATGATCTTTAGATGATATTTTTTCCTTCAATAATGAGTTATCAAAAATTGTAAATTCTGTAGATTTGTGACCATGATTTGTACATGTACGTCCCTTGAGAGACCAATGCCAGTAAATGGCGAGAGCAAACAGAGGCATGAACATCCTGCCGTAGTTATAAGTCCAACTTAAAATAAATCTTGTTCTATGTGAAACACCCCCTGGAAAGTATTAATTGACCCTACTTCAAACATGATGTTCAACAGTAGATGGCGACCTTTCTCGCACACTGCAGGTTGGCACATGCACAGATAGGATACTTTGGAAGGCGTTAAGACAAGATTTCTTCCAGCTTCCATACAAAAATTAAGCATTTTTTCATCAACCTTGAACAATGTTTTGAGTCAGGTTAAGAGGTAAATTATACATGTATGTATTAATTTCCTGCTTTCTTTCAATATATTTCAGGGGATCGGAGACGAGTCTTGCCATTTTCTGATTAACAAATTCAAAGACAAGGGGTATATCACCCTGCAATCCAACACATTACGGAACCTGAGCGTAGGATTTCTCCCTGATGGCTCGGTCAAACCAACCATCGACAGCGGCGAGACCAATGTCAGGCTCTATCCGGAGGTCATCGAGTGTGAGTAGCAGTCTGTTTAGTTCAGTTCAGTCTTTATTTTTGTACTCTCATTAAAAACAACATACATGAAATGTATATAGGCAAGAGAGCATCGTTAATCAATAGAAAATAATTAATACAGAGCAAATAGACACACACAAAATATGAGAATGAGGGGTAAAAAAAAAGAGCGAATGGCCTTATAGTACGTTGACCATTAACAAATATTTTAACTACATGTACTTTTGTTTTTAAGTGGCCCAAACATTGTGGAGCGTGTGTGCAGCGCTTTGTAACTGCAAGGAAAAGGCGCTATATCAAATATCTTTTGGATGGATGGATGTATTTGTAGATTATCTGAGGCACTTTATGAGCAAGCACACACTAGCATTGAAAAGTGCACACATGGACTTGGGCCCCATGCTTCACATTAATTGTTGTCTTGCTTTGAAAATACATGTATAAACATGTACATGTAGCAATTGGCATTGACTTCTATTCATGTGTTTATTTTTCAGTTGGAATCAAGAAGAAATTGACCACGCCTACACCACCAACCACACCCAAACCTACCAAGATGACTAAAAAACGTAAGTTACAAGCTCCCCCTTGCTCTCTGTGTATCTTTCTCTCTTTCCTTCCCTCATTTGCATCTTTCTCTCTCTTTCTCTATCTTTGTTTTTCTCTCACTCTCCTCTCTCCCCCTCTCTCTTTTTTCTCTCTCTCTTTTCTCTCTCCCTCTCTCTCTCTCTCTCTCTCTCTCTCTTGTCTCTGTGTCTTTTTTGTTTTCTCTTCGTCTTTCTTTCTCTCTCTTCTCATTCTCTACCTGCATTATTTGTCCTCCCATACCACATCATTTTACAGCATACTATTCAATGTGTCTGGTATGGGTACATCATATCTAAATCATCAAGATGACAACACATCAAAGAATGATAGATCATCAGGTCAAAATGTCATGGACTATTAAAGCTTAATGATAAAGTACAGTACATGTACGTTGTACAATACAGGGTAGTCTACTAAGGTGGATGCACCCACATGGCCAAAAATTAAAACCTCATCTGTCCCTCATGCTTTAATTGCCACTCTCGACCCAGGTTTTAAATGGGTACCCGTTAGGATGCGAAAGTTAAAGTAGTTTGCTCGATCAGCATTATGAGTGTCAGTAAAATGATGCCTGGCTGGGAATGCTCCCCAGGGAGTGGAGAATGTGCATACATCATGTGCGGGCCAGCCTGAATCCGATGACCGGGGTAATAATATATCTGTATAGCGCTTGGAGACATCGTCAATGTAAAAGCGCTATATAAAAGCGGAAAATAATAATATTATTCCGCTTATATAGCGCTTAATACAATGTCTCTGAGCGTTTTACAGATATACTATTACCCCCGTCATTGGATTTAGTGCTTGCCTTCCCACACTGTGTGCACAATCTCCACTCCCTGGGGAGCATTCCAGCCAGGCGGCATTTGACGCTCAAAAACTGTTTGACCAACATGACGGCCGCATTCTACCGGGTACCCATTTAACACCTGGGTGGAGAGTATCAACTGAAGGTTAATATCTTGCCAAAAAATATTAGTGCTGTGTCGGGATTCAAACCCTCAACCTTCGCATCTCCAGTCAAGCGCCTTAAACCACTCGCTCCAACACTCCCATTATATTATTATTACTGTCAGAATGAATTTTAAAATTATATTTCGTCATCCCACCATCTTACTCCAAGCAGTCAAGAAGAGGAAGAGTGAAGAGAAAATTGATATTGTTTCTGCTGCCAAGGCGGCGAAGAAAGAGGAGAAGAAGCCTGTCAAAACCAAGGGTAACAAAAGATGATAACAAACCAGCCTCTAGCTCACCCAGCACAATATCTTGGAGTGGACTTATATCAAACTAACTTATTTTCACATGAGACTGATTATTACTTATTAATCTAGCTGATTAGTTATTGAAGTCTGCCATAGACATGGTATGAAATTTAACCTTGCTTACTAATGAATAAACTGTTTTTTCACAATGAATGTTTAGAAATCTTGAAATTCGTTTGTAGCCTTAAGAATAGATGTTTTTGTCATCTAGTACTCAAATGAAAAACATATCAAAAGAAAATGAAAGATACTTCCCATACTATCCTTTAACCTATTTCATTTTTAACCTTTTCCATCCCCATTTACCCCAATGGGTTCAGCCTCTACAAGTGAGCTTTTAAAGCTTTTGCATAATTTGTGCGTAAATATTCATACATACAGTATATATACATATATATTGCAGAAGAAGATATCTATGAACATTGCTGTAAAGAACAAATAACAAAGTTTGTCATAACAGTTTCATGTTTTTTGACACCTAAATAGCGATTCAAGTCTTAATCTTTTATCACAGTTTGAATGGATATCTGAAAATTCTATATACATGTATCTGTATAGAATGAGATGACTGATTTTAATTTTGATTTAATTTCAACAATTTACAGAATATATGCACAATTTTACCAACTCACAAGAAGGTTTATGTAACCCTTAAAGAAAGAGGCATTTTGTTTTTTCCCAGGCTGGAATAGTTGCAAGCATTAATCTATTGGATAGATAGATAGATGTGTGCTCCATTGATAGCAATAATAATAGAGATGATGCATAATCATCACATGCAACATGCACTTTTGGGCATAAATATTCATAAATGTTTATATATATTAGAAAAAGATATCTATGAACATTACTTCATTGCTGTATAGAATGAGATTACTGATTTGAATTTGAATTTAATTTTAACAATTTACAGAATATATGCACAATTTTACCAACTCACACTAAGATTTATGCAACCCTTAAAGAAACATTTCATGTTAATTTGCCTCTCCACCTCAATTATGTTCCCATTATATTAATTTGGACTTCTGCATTTAGTTTATTATTGTCACTATATTAATTTCATAACCATCACATTTATTTTACCATTACTTTTCAATTACTTTTACACTTCGACTTATTTGTCAAAGATCCAAGCTATTCTATTTGTCCGACTTCAAACTGGTATTTCTACTGGTTTCCAAAGGGTATCAACTGGTTTTACCTGGTACCGCTACCAGTTGAGACCAGTTGAGACCAGTTCAAACCAGTAGATACCAGTTGGAAATCTTTACTGGTTTCAACTGGTATCAACTGGTATTTCGACCTTGGTTGGACTTCTGCATTTAGTTTATTATTGTCACTATTAATTTCTTTTCAAATACTTTTACAATACTTTTTGTCCAGGATCCAAACTAAAGCAGGTCAAAGAGGCTGCACCACTACCAGCAGCAGCTCTTATTGAAGAAAAAGAGAAAACACAATATGAAGGTACTTGTAACATAAAAACTGTTTTGAAATCATGCACAGCTATTTCATGTACATTTTAGCTAATTATCTGGAAATGTATGTACGTATTGTTAACTTTGTACTGATATAAGTACAGAATCATTATTGCTCTTGATGCTGATGATGAATGATATAATAATTTCCTAAATATCATTTTTATCCTTCTACTTCTTCATCATCTTTTTCTTTTTCATCTTCTTCTTCTTCTTCTTCTTCTTCTTCTTCTTCTTCCTCTTCCTCTTCCTCTTCCTCTTCCTCTTCCTCTTCCTCTTCCTCTTCTTCTTCTTCCTCCTCCTCCTCCTCCTCCTCCTCCTCCTCCTTCTTCTCCTTCTCCTCCTCCTCTTCTTATTTTTCTTCTTCTGCTAGTACATCTTCTTATCATTATCAGTAATTTACGCTGAGTTCGATATTTGTTCCGCATGATATTGTGCAGAAGTGATGGTTCCTTTAAATAACAAGTTTCTTTTTTCTGATAGATGGAGAATGGAAGTGCCTTGTTAAAACTGGTTCCCTTTCAACCAAAGCTAACGTAGTCCTGGTGGTTTATGGTCAAAAGAAGGTGTCAGAACCCTTCACTCTAGGCAAAGGAAGTCCCAAGCTGTTCAGCCCAGGCAGTGAAGACAAGTTTAAGGTTTGTGAGATATGTTTGTCCACCAGTCTGCATTCAATTGTTGAATTTGTGTGCATGTGCCATCTGTTATGAACCCTGACAAAGTCTTTTGTTTTAATTTGGTGACGATATATTAGTTTATAAAGAATGGGAAAGTTACAGAGGTTTGTCAGAATGTTGAAATTCAGAAAATCCTTCAACAAAAAGTCAAGTTGACACACAAGAATTGTGGAAGGTTCTATCAGAATATTACAATGCAGTTTCCTTTCCCTCCTATTTTTTGCAAAATTTATTTCCCTCTTTATATATCGTTTCATTCTTTTCTACTCCTTTTGTCTACAACCCTCTTGTTTTTCCTGTAAATATGTCATCTAATCTCTTTTGCCTTCTCCTGATAATTCTTGGTATTTATTTTCCCTCCTCCTTTTCCATCTTCTTCTCCATCATTGAATGCATTGGGTATGACTATTGTAGAATGAATTACTGAATTGATCATGTTTTTGCTTGTTATTAGGTCAACTTGCTTGGTCTTGGTAACATGTACAAGATACGGATTGGACTGGACTCCTACAAGGCCTCCTGGAGATTAGACACGGTGAGACATGAAGCGTTGACTAAATGTACTATTACCAACAGATAATATCTACTGTAGCCATGTTCTCAGTTGAACAAATATCAGAGAGCTAACCATTTTGCAAGGACTCTAGTCTACCCCTACATTTATTTCTATGCTTGTAACCCTATAATACATGATCAGCCAGTAGTAATACACTTAAGTCTCTCAATCCAGTATCGTAAACAGATAGCTTTCAAGAGGTGTCTGAAAACACATCTTTTCTAATTTGTTGTAATATTCCCCTCTGTTTATTAGTAATGTAAGCTTTGTATGATAATGTTCTCTCACTATTTTGTTTGAAGTATTTTACCGGTATGCGCTTTGTATCTAATGAAAAGGTGCTTTATAAATCGAGGGTTCAGTGACACAAAGACGTAACTCCATATTTTGCCAAAATGAGTATTTGATATCAAAGTATTCAGACAAATGTGGGCTTCCCAGAAAACACAAAGACTTAACTCCACCCATTGAAGTCAATGCTAGTGAAACATAGACTTAACTACTTCAGGCCTAAGTGCTCAAAATGGCCAAAATGGAGTTACGTACGTCTTTGTGTCACTGACCCCTCGAAATGTAATATTATTATTATTATTATTTAACATTCAGGTGAGTCTGATCGAGCCTTCCCACGGTGACAAACACGTTTGTAAGTTCAAGAATCGTTGGCTCTCACTCAAGGAGGATGATGGTGATCTCTGGAGAGAGCATGCCATTGCTTTACCTGGGAAGAAGCCTCTACCTAGTAAGTACAGTCTATTAACCCTTTGCCTACAGGAACCCGGTGGTCCCTGTGTTAAGCCTATGGGACCTATAAAATTCAGTAGTCAACTGGTTAAAAGTCCCTAAACACAGTTTACTGTTGAAAGTTGCATGTTAGTGTATATTTATATAATATGTTTGGGAAGAGACACGTTTTTCAGCTATTACACTCACACTACTTTTTCTTTTTTTCTGTAACAAACAGTAGTAAATATTCAAATCCAGAGCCATATTGGATTAAGCCTGCAAAAATCATATTTTAAGATGTACTTTTACGCTATAATTGGATTAAAGTCTGCTTTTGCTATGTATGTCTGCTTTTTTCATACAAACGTAATTACCTTTGACCTTTGAAAATGTATCTGTCCTTTTGTTGAATATTTGCTTTATCAAGTCTCCATGACGACAGAACTCCACAGAAATTTATATGTGTACACTGCCAAACATTCATTTCAACCTTAATTCTCAGTTATTTCACCTGCATTGTTTAGCTGCATGTCACTCAAATCTAATTATCCTTGGCCAATGACTATTTTTCTTCCAGTGATGCACTACTTTATCACGGTTGCCACGGGAACGGAGCCCAACTCGGCGACGGAGGCCAACGTCTACATCAACATCTTTGGTGAGAAGGGAGACACCGGCAAGAGGCTGCTCCACAGATCTCAGAATGAAGACGTCTTCCTACAAGGACAGGTGAGAGGGATGATGGGTTGTCATGACAACGGTACTGATGGATAGATGATGATATTATCAGTAATTTGATAATGGAGGAGGGGCGGATGAGAATGATGGCAGTGTTGGTGGTAGTGGTGATGGAAATGAGAACGTCTTCACACTACTAATATATAATAAAGATTCAGAAAGGGGGAGGGGGACATGATTGTTTAATTACCAAAAAATGGTGGTAATGATTGTTAGGGTGGAAGATTGCTGAAAAGCAAGGGCAAGTAGTGGTGATGAACAAAATATTGTGATGACTACAAATTGTCCCTCTTGCTACATCAAGTATAAGCCTGGTACCTAGTCTCTGGGATGTGTATATCCCCATACCTTAACAAATATGCTTGTATCTGGGTTTTAGAATATGTAAAAAAAAAAAAAATCAAGTAAAGAGATTGTTATACATGATGCCAAATGAATAAACATATACATACCTGTACATGTCATGACTTGATCAAACTTCACAGTCATTCTCATTATTTCCAACCTTTAGTTCCAAATGACAATTCTATCACAGAAGATGTAGTTAAAGATACTTTATTTTGTTTGAAGGGGAGTAAAGTTCATATAGGGGGGGGGGAAGGCACTTTGTCTTGAAGCCAAAGCTTTAATGCATGCCAAATCTAGTATTTTATCTCCTTATTTCATGTTTCTTGCATTTTACTGTAAAAAGGACAATATGGAGTACTGAAGCTGTGACGTCATAAAAATCTGTTTTTAGAATTTCTCCATTTTTTCTTCATTTTCCGAAAGAGCATCAAAAATAATGTCCAAATGTCGAAAACCAATTGAATATATTAAGTATTGGCTGAGATATGATCATCTGAATGAATATATTCCCTATAGGAACTCAGTGTTATATGTATGCTCTGGCTCCTAATGGTTAGGAGCCAGAGCATATAACACTGAGATCCCATAGGCAATCTTTTTATTCAGATGGTCATATCTCAGCCAATACTTAACATATTCAATTGGTTTTCTCCATTTGGACATTATTTTTTATACTCTTTTGGAAAATGAAGAAAAAATGGAGAAATTCTAAAAACAGATTTTTGATGACGTCACACTTCACCACTCTATTAGTTCCCAGAATTTTGCCATGTTTTTTTTTTAATGATTTTTTAAAAACAAAACCGGAATTGAATCAAATCTGATCTCTTGTATCTCCTCTCTTTCACATCAGGTTGACTGCTTTGAGTTAGAGGCAGTATCGATCAAGAAGCCTACCAAGGTCGTGATAGGTCACGACGGTGAGAGCCCCGGAGAAGGATTGTATCTTCAGCAGGTCACCATCAAAGACAAGAAGGATTCCAAGACAGAATACATCTTTAAGTGTGACAGGTATCCCACTCCTGCCGCCAAAATTTATCAAGTATTTTTTGTAATAATAATAACATTAACATTCCGTTTTTATATAGTGCCCAATACATCAATTATGATCTGCAGTCGGGTGACTTACATGTACCTACTAGACCACAACACCTCTAAACCTTATCAATTTCCCTTCAGATGAGGCCTCTGAATAGTTTGTTTTCATCTACAGAGAATCTGATCAGGGTGAATTGTTTAAGCATCTTACATGGTTCTCTATATGCCAGCATAATTGATATTATCGAAAAGATTACCATTAACACCTGAAATTGACAGAATTATAATAAAATTGCACAGTCATGTAGTTTGTAATGGTGATCATGAGTGATCCAAGGGGAACTTTTTCATATCATTGATTTAATTTTAATTTCACTTTTTTTAATATTTCAGATGGCTTGATGCAGGACAAGATGACAACAAGATAGAGAGAGAACTGGAACTCACTGAGATGAGGACAATTAAACGTAAGCTCATGAGCCTGGCAGAGCTAGGGGAAAACAAAATCAAACAATGAAAGTACACTTTCAGTAAACAAAATAGTTGTGTTGTGATTATTATGTAGGTGTTGAAAGTGGCTATTTTCAATAATAGGGATTTGTGCATCAATCAATGTTACTTTTATTATAACTGTATACTTGTACGTTGCATATTTATACTTGATTTTTAATGAATTTGCAGTGTTTGCTCTATGAACTTTCAAACCTTGTATATATTGTACAATCAAACCTGTCTATAGCGACCACCCAAGGGAAACACAAAACATGGTCTTTGTAGACAGTTTCCTTTAGTACATGTTTCAATGAGAAACCATTTTCAAAGGATACAAAAAATGTGGTCTTTGTAGACAGGTGGTCTTTGTAGAAAGGTGGTCACTAAAGCAGGTTTTACTGTATAGTATCAGGTTAAATTTGTTGATCTCATGTCCTGTGATTAATCTTTTGGATGGTGCTGTCATCCCTTGCTTCATAGCTCATGATTGGGAGGTGTTCATCGCGACAGGCTCCATGGCCGAGGCTGCTCTTCCTTCACCCGCAACACTGGTAGTCTACGGAGACAAGGACAAGACCGAGTTAGTCCTTGAACCGCTTCATGGTGAAGGTTTCCTACCGGGCAGTGCAGAGAGCTTTAGGGTGAGTAGATGAAGTATGTACAGGTGTATTTGATAACCAGTCACCAGCTACACTGGTAGTCTATGGAGCAAGGACAATACTGAGTTAGATGCTGCTTACACGTATCGGCTTGCATGGTGATGTAGGTATACAGTAGGCTTACGGTCGCACCATGTGAGAGAGGGGGAGGATTGGGGATCGAGTCCTGAAAAGGACTGCTTGTTAATCTTTCTTTCTTGTGAGTGTGTGTAGTCCTGAAAAGGACTGTTAGTAATCTTTCTTTGAGCTTATAATGCCGGTAGGTGAGGATGGGTAGTAGGAGGGGCTTGACGTTTCGAACAGGTTGACTATCCGTCATCTGGAGTCATACTGATAGTGAGTTAGTGCTTGAACTGCCTCATGGTGAAGGGTTCCAACCAGGGACATTCATCTCAAGCTGGGTAGTTGGTTGGTTGGACTGTCTGATTTTACTTTAACTTAAGCTGACTTCAAAGATTTTACAAACATCTGACTACTCAAATTCAAGTTGTGCATTGATTGTTTTACTTGTGAAGAGCGATCACTAAAAAATATATTTCAGAAATAAAGACATACAGTAGAGGTGTTGTGGTCTAATGGAAAAAGTCACCGAACTGTGGATCGCATGATTCCTGGTTCGAGTCCCGCCACAACACTAATTTCTTTGGCAAGACCTTAATCTACATTTGCCATACTCCACCCAGATGAGGTAAATGGGTACCCAGTAGGAATGCTTGAGCATCTTTTGATGGTAGCTTGGGTAAAGCAGGGGTAATAATATGATTGCAGGACCCTCAGGGAGAACATTATGAATCCTGATGAGGCTATCCTGGGTAAACAAGACATATTATTTTATTATTATTATTATACAAAATTGTATATTACAGGCTTGCATTTTAGCTTTACCTTAGCTTTCAATAAGTTCCTACTGGGTATCCATCTAACTCCTTGTTGGAAAGTGGTAAACATGGATTAACGTCTTGCCAAAGGATGATAGTGACATGCTGAGTCTTAACCCCATGACCTTCACATCTCACCCACCATCTCCACCCAAGTGTAGTTTATGGATACCCGGCTGGTAGGAAGAAATTCCTTGAATGCTGGATCACTTTCTCATGGTAGCTCGGCTAAAGTCGGGGTAATATTATGATAACAAGGCCCTAAGGGAGAACATTATTAATACTGATAGGCTTCCCTCGGTAAAGTAGACATATTACAGGGTGTTATTATTGTTATTATTATTAATATTGTTTAAAACACCTTGGCTGTGACACCTTCATCAACTATTGTACATTATTGTATAGGTCAACTTTGGCGATATCGGTCGGCTGGTTAAGGTCCGACTCGGCCATGAAGATGAGGAGTCCAGCTGGTATGTCAAGACGATGAGGATGGTTGACCTTAACACCAACGAGGAGCAAGCCTATGAGGTCGATCGCTGGATGTCCAGGAGTAACGATGACCGGGACGTCTGGAGGGAACTTGCTGCTGTCTGGCCTGGACAACGAACTGCACCAGGTAATAACCCTGTCACACCAAGACCAGTCCAACGGTAATAGACCTAACATAAATTACATTACCGTGAATGGTCAAGGTATTGGTGAGTGTAGGATAGGTTTGGAAATCATATGGGCAGTGTGACTGAGGTATAAATATTAGTTTTCTAAACAAAATTGACCTCTAGATGGAACTGGCTGCAGTCTGGCCTGGACAACGAACTGCACCAGGTAATACCCCTGTCCCACCAAGACCGATGCCAGTCCAACAATATAGACCTAACAAAAGATTACATTACCGTGAATGGCCAAAATGGCAGTCAGTTTAGGGTTGGTTAGGACATGATTTGGTAGTGTGACTGAGATATTAGGAATGGTTTTCATAACAAAACCATATTTTGTTCTTATAAAGACTGAGGATGCAGCTCTGTTAGTTTTGTAGTGATCATAGTTGAATCATAAGTATCATCTTTACTGTTCACATGGACTTATGGAACAGTAACTGGTTTCTTTTCAGAGAACAGTAAACTTGGCCTCATCATAATATGCATGTTCATGTGGAGAAGTGTTTGCTTTAATTGTGTAGAAAGAGTGATCGGACATTTGCTTCAGCAACGATTGCAGCGTATATTGGTGAATCCGGTGAATCGAAACCAAGTCGATGCGCTAGTGCCCTTTGGTAAGGCATTAATCCTCACTACCCGGTCCTTCAGAGAAAGCCATTGGTTATCTGGTTGCTTACTAACAAGCACTTATGCTTTCTTAGAAGGCTGGTAAATTGACCACCACTAAACTAAAAAGGAATATGGGTTGCGTAGGAAAATTACCATGGAGCTATTGTCGCCAGAGCACACATTGTACAACTTCTCTTCTTTATTTTGTGTACATTGTAGTTGCAAGATACTATGTTCAAGTCTTCACCTCGTCTGAACCTGATGCTTCAACCAACGCCAACATCTACGTCAACCTGATCGGGAAGAACCACGACTCTGGCAAACGCCGTCTGGTCCGTCCCAAGACCACCAACGAGACGCCCTTCCAGGCCGGTCAGAAGGACGGCTACGAGGTCGAGGCCGTCTTCCTGGGCAAGGTGCTGAAGGTCATCGTAGGGCATGATGGGGAGGAGGAAGGTCAGGGCTGGTGCCTGGAGAAGGTCATCGTCAAGGAGTCCAGGACCGCCAAGAATGAGGCCATCTTTCCATGTGAAAAGTTAGTTCCGCTTCAAAGGCTGTAGTTTATTTTTAAAATGTATATTGGTATGCAAAAGAAAAGTCCCAGTGTGTATGTAAATACTCTTTTATATTTGTTCATATTCATTTCTTGAAGTTTACTATGGAATTAATAAGTGGTACAGTCGCCAGTGGCGATTCTATGAAGCTTGGGTGGTAAAGTCTATTTTAAAATATTATATAGTAGATGCATGTGAATTAGCTCATTATACATGTATGATCTCTCGTTTTTTTTCTTCATTTTTACAGATGGCTTGACACTGGGAAGGATGATGGTAAAATAGAAAGAACTTTAGTGCTTGGCAAGCCATCAGCAGGTAAGAGATTATTGTGTAGAAAACGAAAGAATAGATTCTGTGGTGCCAGCTTGAAGCAGCCCGAGTATACCATATCTGTGTGGTTGCCCTACGGGGTAGTTATTCTAGGGGGTAGTTATCCTAGGGGGTAGTTATCCTAGGGGTGGTTATCCGGAGGGTGGTTGTCCAGGGGGTAGGTGTCCTAGAACCTGAGTATACACCCAACCCATTTTCAGGATAGACTTGTCTCTACAATTACCTGTGTTCTTGTAGAAGCTCATTCATGTCTGTATTCAAGATTTAAAGATATTCTTTGAAAGACAATAACACTTATGTATGTACAGTAGGCTTGTGGTTACACCATGTGGAATGCACATTCACTTGTTTTTGCTTAAACTTTCACGCAATACAGCCCCAAATACCGTCACGTCAGCCAAGGCGTCTGCTACCACTGATATCATCACCTTAAAATGGAAAGCGCCCTCTACGCCGGTGACCTCTTACATTGTGACCTGTGACCCACCTGACCCCAAGGAATCTGAGGTCACCCTGAATGACCCCAAGGCAACAGAGGTCGTGTTTGGTGACCTGACCCCAGGCAAGGAGTACACGTTTGGAATCACGGCGGTCAATAAGAAGAAGGAAGGGGAGAAGGTTACAGTTAAAGCAACGACAAGTGAGTAGTGTCTCAACTAAAAACTTTGCCTCTGATGTTCAGCTCCTTTAAAGAGAAGGTTGAGTTCTGGGAAGAGGTGAAAAAGAATTTGTGAGCGTTATCATGTATTAAGTGTGGAAGAACATCAGATAAAAAATGTTCTGAGAAAAGCATGGCTCTTCAAATGCCTTAATATTCTAAATATGGCATGTAACATCATAAAACTCGGGACGGATTTTTATGCCACATGTTGGTGTAGTCCCATATACATCTTTCTGTGCACAGTGCTTGTAAGTTTACCAAGACTGGGCCAAATTTCTTATCATTTTGATGATTCCAGAACCTTGCAGTACACACCAATACTTGTATGCTAGATGATCAACCTTATCTGATCGATTCCACAACGTTTCTTTCACAATGCATTCGCATGAACAGAACTCAATTTTATCTTTAAATGTGAATGCTCATAGAAAACTTATCCCAAATCAAATGCCCTTCTGTCTCTCAACAGTCAATAATACACGGTACCACCACTCACAACTTGATTCTGAATCTTTGTAATATTTGTGACCTGTGTTTTATTTTTTTTAAATCCATTATTATTATCAATTTCATTATAAAATGCTCAATTAATTCTGATTTTATATACGATCATTATGAAATATTGTTTCCATAAGTTTACTTTAATTTATTTTATAATGTGTAATCATATGAGTGTAGCACATTGCTATTCATATATTTATGTATCGGACTTGACAGTTTCTTTGACTTTGTGTACAATTTCTCTACCGTTATTATCTACCGGTATCTGTTTCTATTTGTATATTTATTTGAAATTCAACTCAAGTTTTGGTTGCAATAAAGAAATAATAATTAGTGTTAATATTGATAATTATTTAGAATACAATTCTTCAGTGTCAAACATTCCCTTCCTTCCAAAAACAAGTGCATTCTGAGTCAGGGGAAAATTGAAAATGTTCATTGCGTCATCGTTTTGTAGTTGTAAAAGACAGATTCAAATAAGACTGCTTTGACCCAGAAAAATATGCTGACAAAACAAAAAGGTCATTCAATAGGTTAACTCTTTCCTGGCTTTGGTAAACTCATTAAACAAACATTGTCTCAGTCGACTTTTGTTCCAAGTACAGTACATACATGTATGCACCATAATTCTTGTAACAATATTGCAGTCTTTCATTTCCAATCCATGTATTTTGTTGGCTTCTAAAGGCTCAGTCAGATATGATGCAGTAAACTGCCGCAAAAAAGTGCCACATCAGATTTGGCATGCCTCAATGTGTCAATGAATGCAGCTGCATGCAACAAAGGTCCTGCGCATATTTACTAAGCTCTAGCTTTGTTATAAAGCACACAAATGTGCGGGTTTGACCACATAACATTTTTAGGATATTTTTCATCGCCCAATTTCATCCATTAAAAATCTACATTGTACTATTTCATGATCAGAACCTAACAAGGTCTTGGATGCATCCCTTGAAAGTGCAATGACCTCAATCAAGGTCACATGGAAGTCACCCGAAGGTCAAAGGACGGGTTACCACGTCAAGATATCTCCCTCGGATGCCAAGAAGTCCTCGCTGAAAATCAAAGATGTTGCCACGACGACGGCCGAGTTTGAAGGTCTGACGCCTAATAAGGAATACAAGGTGCAGGTCGTCACGGTCAGTGGAGAGACAGAGAGTGAGAAGGTCACTCTGGAAGGGAGGACAAGTGAGTCAAGACAATTAAAGGGGAAGTCCGCCCTGATAACAAGTTGGTTTTAATAGAAGCAGAAAAATGAGAGAAACAGGTCAGTTAAAGTTTGAGCAAGATAAAAAAATAAGAAAGTTAACAAACGCAAGTTGGCAACTCTGAGATGTATCTTGTGACCTCCCCTTTCTCTCATTTTTCTGCTTTTATTAAAACATACAATTAACCCTAGCGGTGCCACCATTTTGTACATGCAATTCTCTCACATAAATTTTACTAGACAAGTATCCCCCATCATATTTGTCTCAGTTTATATTGATTGAGACATTATTCAATGATGCCTAACTTCAAAATTCATGCACCCACTTTTACTTTTGAGAAGAGTTAACTGCTTCTGAGCAGAAAGAATACTTATTACTCATAAACATTTACATGTATATCTACAGCTATTGAATACTCTGCATCTTTTATGTTTAAGCACTAGGGTGTTGTGAGAAGTTACATGCACATGTATTTGTGGGGTTACATAAACAGGTGATAATAAATGGACAATTTCTGTTTGACTTTTTACAGATTTTTGCTGTTATGCTATTAACAGTAGTAACCTGCACTTTTCCTGTACATGTACTTCAAAATTGTTGAAATGTTATAAATCCATAGACTACTGAATTCTTTAGTTCCTATATATTTAGTTTCCGTATGCTGGCAATGGGTTAAGTGATTTCAGTTTCCCATGTTACAAGAAAGATTTTTCTTAACAAATTGTTTTGCAATATTCTATGATTTCTATTCCAGAAATGCCAGAGTTGAGGATTCTCCCCGTGATTGGCCACTCAACATCATCAGGAACGGATCATCTCGAGATCTCCTGGAAGAAACCTGATGGGGATGTGACAGGCTACAGGGCTGTACTTCAACCTGCAGAAGGTAATAGTTAATTAAATAAGACTCGATGTTGATCTTGTGGACTCAACTTTTTATGACATTTTTATATGACATTGTTTATTCAATTTAAAAAAAAGCAGAGGCTGATTTGTAATGTTAATAAATACAGTACATTAAACAAGGACTTTAAAAAAATTATGTGATGCTAAGATTACCACAATAAATCAATGTATCTACAACCTATTATTTGCTAGTTTCTATTCTTTCTATTCTCGCTTGCTGGGTAGAACAACATATACAGCTGAGTTACTGCTTTAAAATTTAGGATGTACAGGAAAATGACTTTTCACATTAATATTGTTGCTTTTAGTAGATTCCTTGTTTCAATCACAGATTACTCTTTCGATTGTCTTGTACTGCAGTGTCAGTTTTTTATAAATTTCATGTTTTTACAAACAGGTGACAATCCCGAGATGAAGTTAGACGGAGATGATAAGACAACTGTCAAGTTCACTGGATTATCACCAGGCAGAGAGTACAATGTAGAGGTCTACACTACGCATGAAGATAAGGAGAGCGATAAGGTTTCCATCGTAGGAAGAACAGGTGAGAAGAAAGATAGATGGAATGAATGGAAGATGGGTTGAGAGAGACAGTGAGAGAGAGAGAGAGAGAGATATAGGCAGAGAGTATAATGTAGAGGTCTACACTATGCATGGAGATAAGGAGAGCAATAAGGTTTCTATCGTAGGAAGGACAGGTACATGTAAGAAGAAAGAAAAACAGATAGAAAGTGATTGATGGATAGAGCGAGAGAAAAGGAGAGGGAGAAAGAGTGAAGTAAAATGCTGAGAGAGTAGAGATAGACGTGTACCTTTGAATATACTTGTACAATTACATTTCATGGTATATGAAGGAATGAAGGAATTAAATCAGAAATGTATGTTTTCTCTGTGCTACTTTTTCTACATGCAAATCATACTGTACATGTATCTTGCCTGGAGGAAAACAACATAATTCATCGTCTCAAGTTCATACGTCCCATATTCTTCTTGGTCTCTTTAAAAACCTTTGCTCTTTTGTTGTTGCTTTCTTCCTGTTTCAATTTCAATGCATTTCATTGTGATCCCCAATAAATAATCATTCCATACTGGTAAGTAGAAGGTGGCAAAGTCCACAAGGTTCGCAAAGCGTCCGTGTCCACTGCCTCTTCTTCCGTGACTGTGTCGTGGAAGAAACCAGAGGGCGACGTTGGTGGCTATCGAGTCACCTGTGCACTCAAAGACGGCGAGAAAGACGGAAAGAAAGAAGAGGTCAAAATCGATGACCCCGATGCAGCTGAAGCCACATTTACTGGGCTCGATCCAAGCACAGAATATGTTTGCAAAATTTATACGATATCTTCGCAAGGAGTGGAGAGCAGTAGTGTGAAAGTTGAAGGAAAGACAGGTGAGATGTCAACTTTTGACTTTGATTTTAATAATTGGCTTGATAACTATATTAACTTTTAAGTTTGTTGTGTTCATTAATAATTGATAACAATTATAGGCATTTCTATAGCGCCGTCTATCTAGAAATTCTATTCCGAGGCGCATTAATTATAATTACCCCGGCTTTAGCCTAGCTGCCATTACAGCGCTCCAGCATTTCAAGGAATTAATTCCTGCCAGATACCATTTACCTCACCTGGGTTGAGTGTGGCAAATGAAGATTAATGCCTTGCCAAAGGACATTATTGCCATATCGGGGATTGAACCACGACCTTTTAATTTCAAGTCAAGTGCTTAAACCACTCGACTATGACACTTCTTTTGTAAGTTTGAGCTTTGACACATGTTTGATCATTTGCACAAAGATGTACATGTAGGAAGAAACTGATGAAGATATTTGATGGAGAGGGACAATAGTTTTGTAATCGGATGTTTTGTTCTGCATAAAAACGAAACAATCACAAAGGAAATAAGTACATGTAACAAAAGTCTGTTGACATATACATGTATGTTAATAAAATGATACACAGGCAGATATTGAGTTGCATTTTAAACATTTCTATTGAAGGTATGCTTGGTTAACATGTTTTGAAATAATGTGCACATATGATAATAAAGCATAATGACCAATCAAAGATACTATACATGAAGAAGTACCTATATACACCTGTTACCACCAGTTAGACATGCATTGAATCATTACTGAGCACCCCTTAGGTTTCTTGGTCTAGACCCTTATAATAGAGTTATCCTGATCTGCACAAGATTTGCTGTTTATTACACTTTACCAACTTAATAAAACGTTAGACCTGATCTTACTTCTTAATAGAAATGCTCCTTTCTTTAAACTGGTTGATTTTGTTGTGTCATGCAGTATTTTGATTCTACTAATATTCTAATCATCTTTAAAGTACATATATATATATATATATATATATATATATATATATGGTACACCCTCCAATACTGCAGTTGGATTGGTATTCTTATTTCTTTCCCAGGGTAGATTTCTAGTAATTTCTAGTATGACAAAGTCTTGTAACTCAAAAAATATGAGTGCTCCGAGAATATTGTTTTAATAACCTTAAATTCATATGTGCCAGAAACAAGTACATGCAATTGTGTAATGTTCCTGTCTTGTATTAATGAGAATAAGTGTCTTTCACAGATGATGAACCAGAAAAAGGGGAAATCCCCATTGTCAGTGATGTCACAGCCACACCCACCACCAACTCAATCACTGTCTCATGGAAGCCTCCAGAGGGAGACATCACAGGATATAAAGTTTCTTGTGCACTGGTTTCAAAGGCTGAAGGTTTTGTTGCTGAGGTAATGCTAATGCATGTACATTTTGACAGTATTCCCTGTGTTTGTATCTCAGCCCTACCTTGATAACTTTGTGAAACATACATGTCTTTGATAAGCATGCTTTGAAAAATATACATGTACATGTAGCATGTTCCATAGGCATATATGCCTAAAGCAAATTAAGTCTGCATGGTGGTCTGATATTTGCTTTGTTGACATTACACTGGGCTTTAATTTCGTCTAATGTATAGGGTTAGTACAGTATGATGGATGCAATTGGGTTCGGGATTATGTGTAGGTTTAGTTTTAGGGTTAGGGTAAGGTACAGTATAGCATTGGTTCCCAGGTTTAGTTAGGGCTTTGGTTAGGGTAGGGAATTGAACATAGAGCATGTGCCTAATTACAACCCTATAGCCATTTACATTTGCTAAAAGCAGGTTGATACTCCTGATTTGTCTATCGAACCAAGCAATTATGTTTGGTTTGAATGGGAATTTAATTGGTGGAACACAAAGTTATTCCCTTAAGAATGAAAAGGGATGAACATGTACACATGCAAGTCTATAATTTCGCTTGAATCAGATTGACACTTTTCATTTTTAACCCATGTATTTCCATCTTTGTACCTGACTGAATAGAACATTCACACCATCCTCTCCATTTACCCCTCTTACTCCTCATCCCAGGTGTCCATTGATGATGGTGCTGCAACCACTGCTACCCTGGAAGGCCTAGAAGAAGGCAAGGTGTATGTGATCAGTGTGGTCACCTTGAAGGAGGAGGAGAGGAGTACACCTGTTACAACCACTGCTGAAACAAGTAAGAGTAATGTACATGTAGTATACAAATAATACACAGCAGTTCATTGAGGGCATATAGTAAGAATTACCCACACAAGGTTCCTTTGGACTGTTTCAAAGATACCGAGCCTGGATAATTTTACTAATGCCCAAACAAAATGATTGATGTGTATTATTTGTCTTTTAAGATGACATTTTATTTGTTTTTTAAAATGATGTTTTATAACACAATTTTATTAATGACCGGGCATTATTAAAATTACGTGACAGGCAAAATAAATGCCTGGTCACGTGTGCGCTCTCAACAAATCATTTGATTAGAATCCGCTTCATCATCTTGTAACACCGTCTAGCACATATTTCATTGTAAAACTATTTTGTCCTAGGCCCCGGCCAATCTTATAAAAAATTGTGATTGATCCAAATCAATCACAAGTCCGCTATTATCAGTTGCAAGTTTGTAGTCTCCTATCTCTTATGTAAATAGTTGCGATTGATTTCAATCGCAAATAACTTGCGATTAATCACAACCCTTTATAAGATGTGTCCCTGGTGTTCTAGTTTCAAGTACATGCACATATACGTGTCACATCTTTCCGTGAATGCTGCTAGGGGTGTCGTGGTCTAGCGGATACGTCTTCAGACTGTGGATCGCATGTTGTGCGGTTCAAGTCCCGCTCTGCATTTATGTCCTTTGGCAAGACGTTAATCTACATTTACTATCTCCACTCGGATCTTGAATGGGTACCAGTAGGAAGGACCTCCTTGAATGCTATGAGCACCAAAATTGGTAGCCTATATGTGTAGCAGAGTCAGATATTGGAGTGCCTTGAGTATTATTATTGTCTTCTGTCTGCATACAAAAGTTGAAATGTAGATTGTGATCCAGGTTTGGTGTCAAATACTACTTCCACACCTTACATGTACAACAAATTTGCTACCAACCAATCAATCGCAATGATTCCAGTTGCTTTACTTCAACAATGATGGTAGCTTGTTATTAATTGCTATAAAGTTTCATGAATTGGTCCTGATCCATTTTAAAGTTTTCTTCCTCTTATTTTTTAATAGAAAAATTAAAGATCCCCAAAGTGCAAATTGCTGGGATAGCTGAGACCGGTACCACTTCTCTCGCCATCTCATGGGAGAAACCCAAGGGAGATGCGACTGGATATTTGGTCACCTGTCAAACCGCAGCAGCTGCAGCAACTCCTAGAGATAAAAAATCCTCAAGGGACAAAAAGAAGAAGAAGGAGAAGAAGAAGAAAGATGAAGAAGAAACCAAAGAAGATGAGGATCAAAAGGAAGAGGAGGAGGTGATGAAAGAGGAAGAAGAAGAAGAGAAGGAGAGAGAGATAAAGATGGAAAGTCCTGAGATGACAACAGTTGTGTTTGAAGATCTGAAGTCTGACGAGGAGTACGTGATCAAGATCTACACTTTGGTGGGAGAGAAAAAGAGTGACCGGGTCAAGGTCATAGGAAAGACTGGTAGGTCACAGTCATATACAATGTATTTTTTTAATGCTCAGTACATTCTAAAATAGTTTGACTACTATTCAAATGCGTCTTCAAATTGATAAATTGATAAAGTCTTGCATCAGCTGCATTATCTGATAAAACTTTCATACTTTCTCATTATAGGTACAATGTATATGTTTCAATGAGAAACCGTTTTCAAGGGAAACAAAAAAAATGTGGTCTTTGTAGACAGGTGGTTGCTTAAAGATAAAGACCAGTTCTGGTCATGCGATTGCATTGTGAAAGAAACGTTGTGGAAACGATCAGAAAAGGTTGATCATCTAGCATATAAGTATTGGTGTGTACTGCAAGGTTCTGGAATCATCAAAATGATAAGAAATTTGGCCCAGTCTTGGTAAAGTTACAAGTACTGTATACAGAAAGATGTATATGGAACTATGCGACACATGCACGATATCTATCAGGTCCAAATAGATATAATAATCTACCAAATATATCGATAAGTAGGCAGTTTCTCTGCAAAATTTGT